TCACGGTGGGGTGCTGGAGCCTATCCCAGCTGTCATTGGGCGGAAGGCAGGATACACCCTGGACAGGTCGCCAGTCCATCGCAGGGCAGACAGACATACACATTCACACACTCACTCACACCTAGGGGCAATTCCGCATGTCCAATTGGCCTGACTGCATGTCTTTGGACCGCGGGAGGAAACCGGAGTACCCGGAGAAAACCCACGCAGACACGGGGAGAACATGCAAACTCCACACAGAAATGACCCCAGTCGCCCAGCCGGGAATCGAACCCAGGCCATTCTTGCTGTGAGGCGACAGCGCTACCCACTGCGCCACCGTGCCGCCCCCATTATCAACATTATGTCTAAAAAACTCTAAAGACATGTATAGATATAATGTCTGTTTCGGGCAGCAATAACATAGCTATATATGTGCTGTTGACTGTGTGACCCCTGATTCCTATCAGTACCACTGTAAAGATATCCGCATTCTACAAAGGAACTATTCCCTTTTAAGTAGAGCATGTGCAAGTGTTACAGCTCCACAGACTGAGAGGCTAATAGTAACAGTTGGACAAATCTATGTTGTTTGAATCAGATGAGACTTTTAACATAAAGACAAAAAATATAGTTGTATGCAAAGGTCTGGGCACCCCTAGGCACATTACATGTTTTGTTGATTTTCTAAGTGAAAATAAGTCCTCACACATCCACTACAGAGATATTTTCACTTTTTTCACTTCTGCACGTTTTAATGCACAATTACTTTTTGCTCAATTTAGCATGTTGGAAATAAAAGGCCACCTAGGCAAAAAATATGATTTTATATTTTAAGTTTTATGTTTTTCCAGTAAATAATAAACAATCATAAACTGTTCATTACAATTAGCAGACAATGCCATGTCTAGAAGATGTGTTAACTTATTTTCACTTAGAGAATTAGCATAACCTGTCATTTGACGGAGGGCCTTCAAACTTTTGCATATGACTATGTCTGAATCAACTTAAAAAAGATTAATGAAAAAGGTTGTGTCAAATTTATTTTTGACCACAAACTAGAACAGCAAGTGGGGCAATGACGTGACTCCTAAATTTTCTGTCTGACAGCATTTTTTTCAGTTTGAAAAAGGTTTAAATGCATAAGAAGATACCCTATATATATATATATATATATATATATATATATATATATATATATATATATATATATAAAATTAGCTAAAATTAGCACTAGAATATGTCATATTTGAGTGTGTTCGCTGTAGGAGACGAGTTAACTTATTTTCACTTTTGCACATCACTGTGCAGCACTGAAAGTCCTTTCTATCAACAAACTGTAAAAAGTTAGTTCAACTTAAAAACATAACTTCATGTGGTAACAAGCAATTGAACAAGTTTTATTCAATTAAAAAATTACTTTGAATGAAAGAATCGTTTATTCAAATGATTTATGTAGTTTGAATAAAACTAGTTAATTTTGTGTTACCAAATTAAGTCATTTTTTTACAGTGCATAATATAAGATAAATTAATTTCTGTACATAGTCTGCCATTTTCTTTGCTGGTGAATGTAAATTTACAATGGAAGCAGGTAACTTCAAAAATGGAGGGAAAACTTTTGCAAATGTTCTAAAACAAACATACACAGGGACAAACACATGCCCCACTTTCACATGGACATTCTAAAGACCCATTAACAACACGACGACTCTCAAGTTTAAAATGAAATGTTTGTTCACAACAAGGCCACGAATGTGCGCTTGTTTGCTTGCTGTTTGTTATGAGGCATGATTACATGATAATAAACAATAGATAATACTTGGTTCTGATCAAAATGATTTGAAAATCAAGCATAATTTATTCCATTATTAACTTAAATGACATGTTTGTTCTAAACAAAGCTGTGAATGTGCTGCACTTATAATTATTGGTGATAAGATTTTAGTAAAAAAAGAAACATTTGACAAATCTTTGAATTTTATGATACAATCTAGTTTAAATCTATGTTTTTGTATAGAATTTACCGTTTTGTGATCTTTTTAAATAGATTTTTACTGATATGAGGTCTTCATGTCATTGGGAGCGAATCCTCATCATGTGGTGCAACAATTAATAGCAACATAACTGTATTAAATTTAAAATAAAATATCTATTTTCTGTGGCTGAAATGTTAATTGCTGATACAGTACACTTGAGTAGTACACTGCTTTTTAAAAACAGTTTTATCAGTTTTATGCAATTTGCAGGAAAAATAAATCTGTTACTTCATTTAAGAAGGCGACTGTGACATTAGAGAACAAAAATATGAGATCATTATTTACAAAACTCAAAAGTAATGCAAACCCTTTGTTTCTGAACACTTTATATTACTGAGAACTTGTAAAAAAAAAAAAAGTTAAGCATGTCAAGGAAATGAATTATTTTAAGATAAATCATGGTCGCACCATATGACATTTTTTTAAGGCCACAGTCATTTCATCTAGAGTAAAAAACACTAAAATAACTTAATCTTAATATTTAATATTAAAATTTTAATATGGATTTATGGGTTTACAACATTCTCAGTGTTTGAACAATAGTTTTTGCAATACATTTTTTTTTTTTGTATTTTAAAATTGGCCTGTTGAAAATTCTTATATGTCATTAACCCAAGTATCAGCATGATAAAATGCTTTATCATAACATATTTCTTTTTTTAATGAATCTGAGAATTAAAAGTTCCAAAAAATTAACTGATCTGAATTCATGTGAATGGTACTGTCTTCTCTAACTTACTTTGAGAGGCTTATCTGTAGCACTGTGTTAATACTAACCCTGCCGTGTGAAGGCTGCACTTTAGCCTAGCTTGCTCCCATTGTGAGTCGCTTCAAAATGGTGCTATATAACAGGTAACAAAAGGGTTATTAAAATAATATAGATGTGAACTCCGTGACTTATACACACAACTCAGTAACCAAAAAACTTCTCTGATGAATAGAAATATCTGTCGATTTGCTGGACAATTCACAGATGAAGTGGATATAGGAATATAAGAATATGACCAAAAGCATGTTCTACTTGAACCTGTTCAACCATGTAAAAAGCTGTGTTACATTTTACCTCATGTTAGTCTGTGACCCGAGATCTCCTATCAGTTTGAACCCCGCCACCACTGGCAACATTAGCATCCACAAGGCCAAACAACATCTGATGGATGTTAGCAGCGATTCCTCACAGATACAGTTTCCTGAAACAGGTCACATTCATGAAAAGGACAGATTATATTCAGAACACATGCTCAGAACTGCATTTGTTTTACAAAACAACAACAGAGAGAGGCTGCAAGGCCCTGGCCTTCACACAGATTTCAAATAAATAATTCAGTCAGCACATTACAAACTGAGTCACTGTTCAAAGAAACCAAATAGAACACAAAACGTTATCAGCAACATAGAGTGTCAAAGGAAAAGTGATCATTTCTGTTGAATTTTCTGCACATTTTCAGTGTTGAATTTGATCAGTTGTTTCAGTGAATTGCGGTGGCTTAGTATGAAGAATCTCAGAGATAAAAATACACCAGAGCTCTTTGTACCTCTGCCATTTGTTTGGCACGAGTCAAATAAACACATAATTATCAACAGTGAAATTCAGCCCCCAGCAGGGAATTCACCCCAGCCATGCATACAGTCAAGCTTCGGTTAAGTGCAGTTAAAGTCAGCTGTTGGAATATCGTGGCGATTAGCTACAACTTCAGTTTGAGCCAGCTTAGCCAAATATTAACTCTGGCCTTCACTGAAATGGCAGTCTGCAGCCTGGTAGTTATCATTCTTAGTCCCACTTGCTCTCCTTTTCCCTCATGGCCCTTCATTGGCAGAGTCAGGTGTGTCTTATTAGGAAAACACAGTAAATGTACAGTGTTTAATGGTTTCTGGGACTGAGACTGGGACTAAACACAAAATGTCACAGTAGAGGTCACAGTAGAGGCTGTTACTGCAGCAAGGGGAGGACAAACTACCTATTACACTTGATTTCAGTAGAAACTTAATGAGCATGTGTCTACAAACTTTTGACATCTAGTTTATGCACTGGCGCAAATTCAGGAGGGATGGGAGTGGCATTATGTGAGGCAATCTTGGGAGTTATGGGATGGCTGGAGAAGATAGTAAGTACTTGAGTTGTGAGAGAGCTGTCAATATGAATTGTTATACACCTGTCTAATTCTAATTAAAACTCTAATTAAAGCCAAAATCGATTATTTTGTTTATTAATGGCAAAAAGGAGCGCTGACCTGTCCTGCCTGTATGTTACAAATGGGATCATTTTTAATACTTCTGTATTGGACTATGATCGTTTGTTTAGTCCGTTTGATTAATTATCATCACTTCTACTGTTGCTATATTTTGCTAAAATATATGCAGATTATGAACCGTGACATGTTGCAATAAAATCTGCAATAAAATTGAATAATACAAAATATGTATGACATTATAAAAACTCTAATTGTAAGTGTACTTTGTTTACTTAGTTTTATGTTTGAATGACTTTATGTAGGCTATAGCCTCCCTCCAAATTTGCTCTACTGAGTGTATAACAGGTGGAAAAATACTTCTAATTTCACCCAATGAAGGATCGTCCCAGCCAACCTCTGCCACCAGATGGCGCTAATGATTCAGATATTGAAGCGCTCTTGCTGGGAATGCCTTTCCGTTTATATTTGAGCACTTTTTTCCCACTGAATTAACAGAAACGTTTGTATTTAATCATGGAAATTGAATTACTGACGTATTCTGTTTTCTTTTATGTCACGTGCAAGACTGGGGCGAGCGGCTAGCGGGGTTAAAGTAACAGACAACTGCATTTCTGTTCAGTTTGTACTTTCATAAACACTTTAAACTGAGCTCTTCCAGGCGCTGGACACTTGTAGCGTCTCCAACACTGGACTGAGTTAAATTCGCTTCAACTCTTGATAGTTTCCCGGTTGGTATAAGAGTCAGTGAGCGTTTAAAAAGCGCCTGCTGCTGGAGCTCCGCCCCCGTGTAGTTTTTTTGCCGCCGCTCGCATAGTCGACATTTTTCAGCCTCATCAGAGCTGACGTGGGAGCTACGTGTGCGCCGAGTCGGGCCATCCACTCCACCCGCAACGAGTGACGAGCCACTCTACGTAAAACTTCGGTAAGTTATTGCTGGCATGTCGAACATCAGACGGGGAGAAGAAGCCGTGAGAGTCGGAGCCGAGCCGAGCCGAGCCGACTACAGGCTGCACTTGTGTTAGCTTAGCAGGCTGGCTAACTGCGATTAGACATTAACGAGACTCGCACGCGAGCTCACGTTACTAAATAAATACCAACAAAACCCATGCAGAGTGTTTCCCCTCAGAGTCTCGTCACTGACGGTTAAGTAACAACTGCAGAACATTTCAGCCTTGCTTCGTCAGATTAACTTCGCAGGAGAGGTCGACAAATTAACGAATGCTGGTTTGCTAACCTAACTAACATTAGATTAAAACTGTATCCACATTCAGTTACAGACTGGTGACGTAACAGCGCTTCAGATTAAAGAGCGCCGCGTTCAAGACGACCTGGAATGGCCAGTTTCCGACCGGGAATAAGCGCTCAGCAGCACCCAAATCATTTACCCCCCACCAGACTGAATAAAAATATATAAGTCATTGTCGCCTATTGCTAAACTGAGGTTAAGGTGCAAAGAACTGTATTTTTTGCACTACCTGGTTGTCTTTATAGCGCCTCCACAGGACCAGCGCTGTAACGTTATTCAGCACTAACTGCATTATGCTCATATTTCATATTGGGATAGAATAATAAAAGAGATTCTGTAAAGAGGAAGCGATACTAAACATGTTTCACACCGTTTCTGGCTTATTCTTATGTCAGTGGTCATCCACAGAGCGGTTTGAAATACTGGTTTTGGTGAAAGAGGAAGTTCAGGTCCGACCGTTAAGTCTAGATGTGTCTGCACTCCGTGATCAGCTGCTGTATGTTGAAGGGTCGCGCGCGCTTGAAAACCAACCGCGACAATGTGAAGAACGCACCGCGGTGGTCTTCTTTATAACGCACATTGATGAACCGAGTAAAGAGAAACGAACAAATTATGCAGAGAATTACATGGACTACAGTCTGTAAATGTAGAACTGAAAAGTGCTCCTGTATTGTCAGTAGATCTAATAAAATGGACAGTGAATGTAGATACAAAGGCAGGTGTACCTAATATAGTGGCAGTGAATGTATTTCAGGTGGTAGGACCAACAGCATCAACAAGCCACCCTTGTTGTATCTGATGTATTTGCAGTGCTGTATCATGTAGGTATATACAGAGATGGGCGATATGGCGAAATGTAATGTCATGATACTTCAGGATGTGTCACAATATTCATTTTTATGACATTTGATAAGTTAGAATAATCACATTTTAAAAAGACTATCAAAAACTGTGAATCCAATTACATGTATTCAACATTTCACACATTATGCTGCACTAAATCCAACTAAAAAGGACAATTATGCTCTCTTTTTAACCAAACATGCAGTTGGAAAGTGATTTTTAAGTAGTGACGATATCGCAATGTACTTAGGAAAGCATACTGTGACCTACTGTGATGTAATTTATCACGAAAGTGATAAATATTGTCATATTGCCCAGCTCCACACTCTTAAAGATGGTGCTTCAAGGGTTCTTTAGAAAAATAAATGGTTCTATATAGAATCATGACCCCTCAAAGAACCTTTTTCATGATTATATAGTTCTTTGCATCATGAAAGGGTCCTACAGATTAATAGAAAATGTGCTGTTGATGGTTCTATATAGAATCTTTTTGAAAAGGGTTCTATATAGCACTCAGCAGCACTCAGCACTTTTCAAAAAGGTTCCTCATGGAACTGTCTATAGCACATTCATACACATTCTCCATCAATCCGAAGAACCCTTTCATGATGCAAAGAACTATATAATCATGCAAAAGTTTCTTTGAGGGGTCATGGTTCTATAAAGAACCATTTTCTTTACTAAAGAACCCTTGAAGCACCATCTTTTTTAATGGTGTAGATGTATATGCTACTCTCGGTGCAGCAATCTGTTGTGGATCACTCACAGAATAAGTCAAATAAGTATGACTCAGAGTTTAGTCATTAGTGGTTAAACTGCAGAGCATTTTAGTTCTGTGGAGGTGAAGAAATAAGCAAATGCTAGTTTGCAGACTAATATTAGATTAAAGATGTAACAGCTCTTCAGATAAAAGTGCTACATTTAAGTCATTAGCGCTTTTAGACTAATTGTTAGATAATTAGTAAACACACATAGTTAAATAGGTTCACAGTAAGCATACATCAGCATATAGCCTACCAAAAAATATTAGTTGGACTCCAGCACTGGTGTTTGGCAGCCTCTGCACTGGTGTTGGTAATATAGCAAAAATATAATCACAATACACAGGATATGTCATGATATTTGTTTTTCTGAGGTTTGATTAGTTGGAACAGACAAAAAACCACTAGCAGTGCCATATTTAAAAAGTACTATCCAAAACTGGAAGTGCAATGATTTTTATTAAACATTTCACATACTGCACTGTGCTTAATCCAGCTAAAGAGGGCTGATTATGCTTTCTTGATAATGATACAGTTAGCCGTTTAGTGTTTTTCAAAACTGCACTGTGTGAGACTGAAAGAAGTAGCATTACTGAGTCAGGAGGAAAAAAGCATGCTAAATTATGGTGTACGTTCTGCTACGAGTCACCATGTAAAGCCTTTAATAGTAATTTAAAAGTCAGAGGTGTTGGGTTGGATTTTGTAGCAGTTTTTCAGACCATGACATACATCTTTACGTATTAGCATCACATGCACAGCCTAAGAAAGAAGATCCAGCTCGATGTTTAGGTCTCAAACGCAAAATCACCATTAACTGATGAAGATATTATGACAGTAGTAAATGACTCACATCCTTGGAACACACATCCTTCACCAAAGCACAACTGTACAATAACATATTAACACCAGAAAGGTCTTAAAACTTACGCAGTGTAACTTTAACTATGGACGAAATACATAATATGCTCAGAAAAGCATACTGTGGTCTAATTTATCACAACAGCAATAACAGTAACAGTATCACAAGAACAATAAATATCATATCGTTTCCTGTTAATTTATTTCAGTCAGTGTTTAATTCAAATAATCACCTAATTGTTAAACCCCTTTCACGCTGAGGTGTGTTAGAACTGGGAAAACGCTAAACAGTGCAGTGGAGTTAGATTCTGTTATATTGTATGAAACATTTGTGGTGACAGTTGGTTTTATGCTAAAGCAGCATCTGTACTATTACTCCACTGAGCTCACTCAGGCAGAGCACTTCCTTTCTGCTTGGTTGCTAGGCTGATCACCATGGAGACGGCGGTGGCAGCACAGCAGCAGGAAGGCAGTGTGACCGAGACGGAGACGAGTCAGATTCAGGGTGACTCGGAGTCAGTCGCACAGGTAAACACACACCCACCCACCCACACACACACAATGTTCTTCCTATTAACCACACTTGAACAGGTACATACACTGGCATTTGGGGTTACACACCTTCACCCACATAAATAAACACATTCTTATCTGCGATCACACACTTTCAGTTGTTACATGTTCACTCACAGGCTAGTACAGGTGCATGTCACTTTCACCAACTGTCACTCACTTACAACGGTGCAAACATTACCACAGACACTTTTACCAGAGTGGAGGCATGTGCCGATATAAAATATCACAAAAATAACCTAAACTTTTATCAGGGTTTATGATATTGTGATGGTATTGTATTGCAATTCCTTCCTGTAAATTAAGGTCTAAATTATTTTTGGCCAAGAACACAAGTATATAGAGTCTTATACAGAGGTTTGGGCATTTTGTCTGTTTTTTATAATATTTATATATATATTTATATATATTTTTTATATATATATTATTATATATATATATATGTATATATATATAAAACATAAAATGTGGCCTGTGCAAAAATTATGGCATAATATTTATATTTTAGATTTTTCCAATGGGTTTAATTCAGCAATTAAATAGAAATTGAACTGAAATTTGCTGAAAAATGCCATATTTAATGTTGTTTAATAGATTATTTTCACTTAGAAAATGTAATAGTAATGTAGGCTATTAATTAAAATGGCAGGTCTTGGGGTTTGAAAATTGCATTCTTTCAAATTGCAGATTGGCAAAAATGATTCCTCTTCTAGTCGTAACATAAGTTGTCATCAGTGTCATTTTATTTAAATATTGTGTTGGTGGATTTCTAATCAAAAACTCTGCGATGGCACTCAGTACAGCAGTTTTCATTCATTTCTGGAGTTCAGTATTTTTGTGCTTTGTCTCATTAAGCACACCTGATTCAACTCATTAGGTTATTAACTTCTTGTTCCTCGTGGTCTGGCACAGGAGTATAGAGTAGGGACAGCACAAATATGTGCAGAGGATGGGGCTGCCAGGACTTTCATTTTCCCACACTGGTTTTAACAGTACATATGGCTTTTTTATACCTTAACCACAGATGTTTTAAGCTTGTAGGTAGAGCTGGGCGATATGGCCAAAAACGTTATCACGATAAACAGAATTCATATCATTCGATACATATCGCGATAAATGTCAAATCATTATTTCTTTCACGTTTGAAGGCTGCTTTTGCTCCTGGATGGTTACTATCACTTATGGTCGGATCATGACAAACACTCGGCAAACAGTGGAACATTTCACTAATCTGTCTTGGGACAATGGGAGAAAGTTTCTGAGCTGTTTTTATCAGCTGGAAAGAGCACAGCTGCAATTTTTGTAATAGTCATAATTTAAGAAAGAAAACAGATTATTTTTAGCTGTCTGGTGACGAGTGCTCGTCTATCCTGTTACGGTGATTTTGTGTCTTGTTTGATCTACCGTATCATCAGTTCACTGTGTTGTGCCGGAGCACTGGAGCGCTGCTTCAATTAGCCAGCAGCTAAAAACAGCTAGCCTGGAAAGACAGCGCTCTCACGCTCTCCAATGCCTCACAGCTTCCCCAGTTTACTTTCTTTAAATCAGGGCTGTAACTAACATGAGCCCACTTCTTTCTTTCACTTTCGTTGCTCGAGAATGCACTAATACTAAAATATGACAGTTTGGCGCTGTAACACGGCGCTGCAGACGTGATTTAACACCGCTAAAGTTGTTAGGATGCATGGAAAGAGGTGAGTTCGCTGTAAGACAGTACAGTTACATCATTTACCTCGTCACTCAGACTTGGTCACAGGAGAACAGATCGCCGGTCGCTCCACTCAGATGTTGCTGAAGTATATTTGGCGACCCTTTTTTTTACTCGTGGCCCCCTCCCTCTCTAATCAAGTCGAAAAACTCGGAAGTGCGCCCTCTCCTGGCGACAGCAGAGTAGTGTCGCTTTCCTTGCAATAGACAGCACCACCAAGGCTTTTGCTAAAACGTGGAAGTGTGAGAATGGTGTATTATATCGAAAAATTATCAAACCTGTCTTATCGCTCTATCGAGGAAAAGTTATATTGCGATACTTATCGTTATCATTTTATCGCCCAGCCCTACTTGTAGGACATTCAAGTAATCTATTTTTACTTTGTTTTGTAGTTTTACAATGAATCCTTCAGAAAATGTTTCATGTTAAAATCAACCTAACATATTTTTTTTACTTTATCAGCCTGAGTATATTAAGCACAATTTATTATATATAATTTAAAAGACAAAAAACTCAAAGACATCTTTTAAACATGCACTAGAGGGAGGGGAAAATATATTTCAATCAATAGTTTCTATACTGATAGCCTCCATCTCCTATCCTTATCATCGGGCAGAAACACTCAGCTAGCTCAGAGACTCCCTGATATGGTGTTTCATCTGGTAAATACATCAGAGGAAATTGTGTTATGAATTCTCATTCATGTTGACTTTACAGCTTAAGTCTGCATGTTATTGGAGGAGCCTGTTAGCCTGTTAGCTGTCTGCTGAGCTGTTTGTTTTATGTAGGGTTTGTTTAGTAGTTTCTTAATCTAACTTTGTAGATCACAATAACAGCAGGCTAACAAAGAAGAATAAGCAGTGACACAAGCTGCTATTTAAACAGCTTTTAGCGTTAACTGGCTAGTTAACGCAGCTAGTTCTTCTTTCCAACCTTCTTTCCAACCACCCTGTAAACCATCTTCTATTCTATTTTCTTGTCCACTGATCTGGCCAAATCTGTAGTTTTAAAGCATGTCCTTCATTGTGATCATGTGATGCATTTTTTGACACATTGAACGGCTGCGCCATGAAACCTGTCTCAAGTTTAGCCGCCTGCAACTGTTGTTTCAAATGAGTTGCAGCACGCTTTACATTATGCAGCTCAGGTACAGTGTAGTTTCATGTAAATTTTAAGCAACTAAACTTGCATTTAAGTTTCACTGTGTAAAGCCAGCCTAAAAGTCTCTGATGAAACTTGTTTGACTAAACTGCAGTGACGATGTTTAAATGTGTCTGCCATAACAGGACCATGTGTGTTGTGATTTATTACTGAATATTGGCACATGTCTACACACACACACTTACACAGGTACACACACTAACCTGCTCATATTCACCTATTCCTTCTCATCTACTGTACTGTACACTCAGCATCTAACCAAGTCAATTTTTAAAAACTTTTCAGTAACAGCCTTTAGCGTCCAGAGGATTAAATAGGTAGATTTACAGAAGTAATAGTAAATGTGGTCTTATTGGAGTGTAGTATTTAGATTGTGTTGTTGTCAGTGAGTGAATTCGACACCCCTCTAAACCCCCCCCACTCCTCTATCTGCAAGGTGAGTGAGAGCATAGGGGAGTCAGCAAGTGTGGAAGTAGTGACGTTACCAGGGGGCCAGACGCTACAGGTGCAGGGAGTCATCCAAGCTACACAACCCTCTGTCATTCAGTCACCTCAGATACAGACCATACAGGTAACACACACTCTCTCTCTCACACACACACGCACACACTGCACATCTCAACACAACCATCTCTCATTCAGTCCCTCAGATACAGAGCGTACAGGCCACAGGTACCTGACGGTAATGCATGCACTGTACAGTAACTCCAGTTTTTGTATTGTCTGTTGCTTTACCACAGACATACACTACATGTTAAATCTTAAAGGGGCGTCATGGAAAACTGAATTTTCCTTTTTGAAATAAAAGACTGATGTAGTATGTTGGAATGTGAATTTTGGCAAATTCTTTTCACTGTTATTATTGATTAATCATCAACCGACAAACTGTGTTTTACAGAAACAAGGCTGTAGATGTCCTTGAATTAAAAAACGCAGCCTAACGTCACAGATGTGACAGTAACCTAATGTTGTCTACTTACTTACATTTACCACATACTGTTAGCGCAAGTTAACAAACATGTCTAAATGACGGTTAAATATCATCACTTTTACAGGCACAGTAACCAAAACAGCTTGTTTAAGGATGAAAGGAGGTTGGAAAAAGGTCATGTAAAAATGAATCACAACTTTTTTTTGGTACACAAGCCCACACAAATGTCACACGTAAACCACAAGGGAGAAAATAAAACACAAATACTGCTGAGTTGACGCAGCATCAGAGAAAGCATTGTCTAGTAATACGTCACAACCGGGCAACCACGGGATGTAGAAGACTTTACCTCTCATCTTTATAACTTGGTCAGCTGTTTGAGTGCAACTTTTCATTAAGAACAAGGACCATACCAGGACACACCATTAATTCCAACCCTTATCTACCACACCTAACCCAGCTAATGAAATAATCATACAATATAGCTACAAAAATGCTCTGTGTGTTATTATGATACGTAATATTTTAAGGTAAGAACCAAAGTTTGTCATTATTTTACATAACACAGCGTGATTCAAAAAGATTCCTCTGATTTCAAAATGATTTTTTTCACTTGTAAATCATTACAGAACAATGCAGTGAATTGTAAATGGTTTAAATGAGCATAAAGTTTATTATGTAATTTTACAAGTGCTCAATATGAACCTCCTCCAGCTGTATGGAAAACATCAACACAATAGCCAAATTCATCCCATACTTGATTGAGCATGTCCGGCGTCACTGCACTCACGGCTCTTTCAATACGATTTCGGAGATCATCCCGTGTTGTGGAACCAATGACAAACGCTCTGAACTGGTGGATGTTCACTACCGCCGAAAATCATGTTGCACAGTTATGACAAATTCACTCTTATTGAAGTGGAGAACGCAAAATGCTTTCTGCTCAGGGGTCACTATCTCCTCGCAGACTGAAGGGAGCCATCTTCCGGTGACAGTCAGAAAGTTTATGACCCCTTCTTTCAATTGGTATGTGATTGGTTCCTAGGCGCCTTACGGTTGTAAAGATATGGCGCTTTGAAATCGGATGAATCTTTTTGAATCACCCTGCATTTCCAGGTTAGAACCAAAGCTTGACACCACATTTTCACAGTTTGGTGGCAATCTGCATCACAACATGCATTTAGTATGTAAATTCCAAAATTTCCATAAACTTATTGCATCGTGGTCAATTGGTTCTTTCAAGAAGTCCCAAGTGCACTAATATCTGGACCAGTTGCGTAGTGTAGGATCACTATGGCAACAGACAGTGTGAGTGTAGCTGGTTAGGGCGCTAATAAGATTTGTGAGTGTGAGAGAGTTGATTCCTTTAATCTCATTAGCGTAGCTTTCACGTCAAGCAACAACAAATAACAAACAAGCAGAGACTTCAAAGGGCTCTTACTACAGATTTCTGGTTATGCAATGTGCTTTTGTCCATTTTAATAGACAGCATTGTGTAAAACAGTGTCAGAAACCACGTAAGCAAGTATATTTGAGATGACTTAACATCATAATATTGTAATTGATCAATTATAAGCTCCCATTTTTATTATCTACAGCCAGATGCAAATGTTTGAACATCCCCACTTGAAATAACACAAGTCGTTGATTTTCCAAGTGAAAACAACTAAACATATCCTCTACAGCGAACAAGCTTAAATATGGAATTTTCCCCCAAATTTTTGTGCATAGTTACTTTTTGCTTTTATTTGAGTTTTAGCAAATTGACAAAAAAACACAAAATGTGAAATGTGCCATAACTTTGGCACAGCCACATTATATGTTTTACCTCTATGATAAAGCTAATTTCTGCAGCAGCTGTTTCCAGTTTCACAACTGATCTCATTGGTTAGACTTCCATCTATAGTCAGTGGTATATCCAGGACGTCCAGAAGACCTACAGTGATTCTCACAAAATCAGTGCCATCTATTCCCATCAAAGTGTGATTGGTTGATTCCACTGTCAGTTCCTAATTATGTTAGTGGTTAATCTGACACATTAGGCTTTCAGTTCAGCTTATTAAGTCCTAATGAATGGTAGAGCTAGTGTGGCTGAGATAACACAGAGAAAGAAATTCTTTTGGCCATTTAAAAAATTTAACCCTTTTGTTTCCAACCTTACTGGTTTAGGGGCAGACTGACAGGTTCAGTCAGGTGACAGCTTTACTGTGGGGCAGTGTTGCTTGGGGAGCAGGTTTTCGGAACGACAGTTTTAGTGGAGTGACATTTATACATTTACATTTACAGCATTTATCAGACGCTCTTATCCAGAGCGATTTGCAAAAGTGCTTTGTTGTCTACTCAGAGAATGTGGTGGACTGGTGGGCAAGTTTACTAGCACATTAAATGTATGCAATGTATGCCTTTTTTTGTTGTGATCATACACAAAACATGAAACCAAATCTGTACTTGTGTGTGTTGTATCCAACAAGTGTCTATGTTTGTCTTTAGTAGGTTTTAATCTTCATACCTACATCTTCATACAGTGCAGCCCATAAGTAATTTGACAGTGGAACAATTACTTCACCATTTACTGCAAAAAATGACTCCACCTCATTGGACTTCAAATGAAACAGTGTGAGGTTAGGGTCCAGGCACACGAAGCCGACGAGGAAGAACTAGCACCAACTAAGACTGATTGATGATCACCTTCCATCACTCACTATCACCTTTAATCTCCTATGAAAATTTGCTCTTGAACGCATGTGAAGACTACAACTGATGACTGACACGCACATACATATTGCACCTGCACGAAAGGGAGCTACTCCTTATAGCAAGAACTGGCAGTAGACTGTAAAACTGCAATGTTCAAAGTAAAGAACATATTGTTTAAATATCTTAGAAGCTTCAGATGTCTGTGTTTAAGCTTAACGCAGTGTGTGAAAGTGAAATTAAACCACTGTTAGCTCTGTGCTGGGTAAGTAAAGCAAAAATTAACACACTAATCAGTGATTGGTGATGTTCATAATTACATGACAAAAAGACTGAGATACCATGTTTTATTTTATGTTATTGTGTTACCAGAGCATTTTTAGAGCTTTTGTCTGATGTTTATTTCTAAAAACATGAATTATTAATAATTAAGTTATTAAGTGTAATATTAGCTATTAAGTTATTAAGGTTAATTATTACTTTGAAGCAACAGGCAGGCATAACATTGTTCACCTAAAGTTGGCACTTTGTGGGCTACATGAATGCACTGAAAAACATGTACACTGCAAAAAATTATATTCTGATATCTTAAAGTGAAACTATTATAATCTTGTCCAAATAGGTACTAATTCTTTTAAATTGTCATAAAAGTATTTTACGATTATTTAACTTTTTTAAAGTAATTTTATTTATTGAAAGTGTCTTACATTGGCACATAATTGCTTATTTCAAGAAATATTACAGATAATTTTGATTTTTTTAAGAAATAATGCTGAAAAACAAGCAAAATCCAGTGCTACAGTAGCTCTTTTGCTAGATAAAATGACTCAACATAAGTAAAAGTAGCTAAAGTTCATTAGCCATATCATTTTCTTACAACAAATAAGAAATATCAGGTATTTTGGCTAAATGTTAGATGATTTCACTTGCCAACAAATTTTTTACAGCATAGGCTGATGGATAGGCTGAACATATACATTTGCAGGCACTTTAGATGAAGCATATGACTTTATAACCTATTATAATGTATGCAATGGGTCGTATAATATTTTTAGTATTTTCTTAATTTTTTTATTACTTTTTATTACTCGAGATTATTTATGCCATAAAATCACAACAAAGATCAAAATACAAATGAACAGCAGTTGAGTGCAGCCATTTCCGATCATGCACTCCTAGTTTTTCTCCATGATTGAAGTCATTTTTTCCATCATCCATTGTGGTCTTCAGTATTCTAAGAGGTTATTTCCTACATCAAGTTCAGCACCAAGCTCTTTGTTCTTAACCATGTTTCAAACTGAGTTTGACACACCTATAGTTTTTGCAATGTCTCTGATTCATTTATTCTGTTGCTTGCCTCATGATGACTTGCTTAACTGGCACTGGCACGAAGTACCACATTTAGAGTCATACTCTTTGTTTTTGTTAGCCCTGTTGTGCATGAACTGTTGCACATGCAACAACACAAAACTGGCCAACACAGCAGCCAGTTACCTACAGTCCAGTGAAATGAGGTGAGAACATAAACAGGATATATTTTCATCCAATAGCCTTGAAAAAGGGAAATTCCAGTGAATTTTCAACATTTCTGCATAATTAAATGTTAATGTTGTAAACAAAGTTGTTCAGACTGAACTGATGTGAAAGATTTTATTGTAGAGAAACTTGCCAAGTCAGAATGGATCACAGTGGTGGTGATAGGAACCAGACATGTAAGTTTAATGCCTCTAAAAGCTACATCACAGAATGCATATGCATATGGTATACATCACCTGAGGCCTGGGACGTTATTCTACAATAGTTTTGTGAAGATTTTGGCCTAAAACGTATTTCTAAAATCCATTCATGGTGAAGAAATACACGCAGCATGTCATAAGCCAAAATAGCCCCTTAAGAAGACATTTTTAATTCTACTTAGCCACTAATTTACCATCATAAACAGGACATATAAAAACAGTAGGTTCACTGATCGTTTTGGATAGTAAATATATTTGCATTGTAGACATCACAACCCCAGGTTCCCATCACCACCACTGTAAAGAGTTGGCAGGGTTTCTCTGCAATTAACCGCTTCAAATAAAAAAACTCAGAATGTACATCTCAACCACTGAATTATGCGAAAATGTGGAAAATGAGTGGAACTCCTCTTTAAAGCTGTTATTCAGCTCTTTAACCACACAGTCACTGTTTCATTTCAAATCCAGTGCGTTGGGCCAAAACAAAAAACATCCAGTTACTTAAAAGAGTAGTCCTGTGTTTTTCAACCTGATCTGTGTTTACCACATCTGCATCGTATGGTCCATTAGCACTAATTTTGACTTGTTTTCCCGTGTTTAGAAGAGAACAAAAAACCTCCTGACTGAAAACACACTTATAATAGAAGCCAATGGGCAATTGCTTAAAATCCATACACTTCATTTATGTGCACTAATTATAGTTTTTAAATGCTTGTGTCCTGAGTGTGTGTCTGCATTCCTGTTGAATGCGTGTTTATATTCATGTGTGTGCACCATGTGTGTGTCTGTGTCTGTTTCCAGGTTGCTGCTACAGCTGATGGAGAGGAAACAGATGTTTCAGACACGCAGAAGAGGAGAGAGCTTCTCTCCAGAAGACCCTCCTACAGGTGAAGTTATTCCCCTCTCACCTTTAACCTTCTGATCTCATCACCCCAAATAGGAAATGTTTTGATAATCATAAAAATGAGTTAATGACACAGCCTAACTTGGAGTAGTTGAACAAGGTCAAGTAAAGCATGCTTTTGGTCATCTTATTGTATTCCCATAAGAATGGCGTCTGTATAGTTTGACAGCAGTTGAACAGACGTTTCTCAAGATTCACCGCAAACACTGATTTTGTACCATGAAAGTAACTTTTTGTTGTAAGTGTTTTTCAATACTGAAAATCACACCTGTGTCATTTTAATCACCCTGTAATATATAATTGTTTTGAAGCTTTTAAACCAGGGCTACCGTAGTTCCTCTGAACAGAAACAGTCCATATCCTCCCATATAAATTCTAAACAGTTCGTTTTTGTTTTTATGCCCAGATTTCTTAGAAAATGTATGAAAGATGTAACATAAGTAGTTTTATCATGCTGATATTTGTGGTTCTATTTGATGGGCCAAAATAAATCTGTCACTTTGGCACAGCCTCTTTTGGCTAATCATATACTTGTGATGCAGATATTTTAATGCGTTTAGCTTGGAAAGCTTGTTTGGTTGGGACAACTTAGAATTGTATTGAATGAATTGTCTTTTTTGTGACTGTCTCTCAGTCTCTTACCGTTAACCCTGCCTATGGCTTAACTGTAGCATTTGCCCTCATTTCAGCTGAATTGTTCATAAATTGTTAAATTTTGATTTGTTGCAGAGATGTATAGGTTGCCTGTATAAAAAAGAAAAACTGTAGTGGTTGTGTCTCCCTCCACCACTGCTAAGTTTTATATGTGTAAAGCTGACAGGGTCACAAGACCTGTAATCTTCTACCTACAGATTAAAGTCTAAAACTTGTGTTAATGACTGATTTTTCAGAGCCTAGAGGTTCAGCTTGCCCTGCAGTATGAACGCCCTGCATGTGTTGATATTTTTGTTTTAGTCATTTGTTTGTTTTGTTTGTGCAGAAAGATCCTGAGTGAGTTGTCCTCCGACACTCCTGCAGTGCCAAAGATTGAGGAAGAGGAGAAGGCCGAAGAAGACACCCCTGCTTCTTCCAGCGTTGCTACGGTGACTTTGCCATCGTCTATTTATCAGACCAGCTCAGGACAATACAGTACGTACACACACACACACACACACACACACACACACGCACATAAATCTTTGACTAAATTCACACTTAGAAGGTTAAAAAGTGGTTAGATCAGCAGATATTTCTTGCTCTTTTTCTTACTGACTCCCTAAACTCCAGTTAGATTTGCTCAATCCTACAGAGATATTTCATGTACAGTACAGTTTTAGGGACCTAAGTAAATTGGTTAAAGCCTTATATCTGGGGAATAAATGTGTTTTTGCCAGTAAAATCAATATACAAGATTAAAATACATGCAAACAAATAAACATAGTTGCAGTCAAAAAAGTAACAAAAATGTATTTTAAAAAGTAGGCAAGTAGTAGACATTCTCCTTGATGTCCCCAGCCATTACATAGTTTTCTTTAATGAAGTATTGATTAGCCAAAGCAGGTGTTGGATTATAACTACAAATAAACAACTCATATATGATACGATAACTATATAGGAGTGATGAAAGTTCAATATGACAGCGACACTAGAGCTGTGTGATAAAGAAAAAAAAACAGTATTACAATAACTGTATTAGCAATATACCTTGATAACGATGAGTCATAAGGTGTTAGATTTATAAATGCCCAAGAAATAGACAATTGTCTGGTGGCATTGCTAGCTCTTGAAGCATGAAAGTGTTTGCTGTGTCTGCCTGGACTTTCCTGGTCGTACATTCCTCACACGCTTGGTAAATGACAAAATTAATTTGTGTCAATGCCAATTTGTGGCAATGTTTGCAGATTTAAAACCCAGCATGGCTGGTGCTTAATTATCCAAACATGAAATTGTATTGTATTATTTGAATAATAGAACTGAATGAACTTCTCTCTCTTTGTAGTTGCCATAACTCAGGGAGGAGCGATCCAGATCGGGGGTCCTGGAGGAGAGGGGCTGCAGGGGGTTCAGGCTCTGACTCTGCCCAGCCCTGCAGCACCTCAGCCTGGAGCCACTATCCTGCAGTACGCCCCTCAGGCTGGAGACCCTGCACAACAGCTGCTGCTCTCTGCTGGACAAGTGCTCGTACAGGGTAAGAGACATGCACACACTTCTTTCTTTCTCTCTCTCTCTCTCTCTCTCTCTTTAGCCCTTTTCACACTCAAAACCCAGGGCAGTTTACCAGTAATATTCAGGCTTTACATCACACATGCAGCTTTTATACCAGGTTGTATGGGGACACACGCGTTCATGCTTGCCGTTAAAGTCCTGGTAAACAGGACGTGATGTCCTCAGCATGAAAGGTCAACAGCTCCTGTATTTCTGAATCATGTATAAAAATAGACTCTCAACATGTTTTCTTTTGAAAAACTGAAAACGCAACTGTAAAAAACAAAAACATCACTCAAGTTCTGCTTTGTTGGTGATGCTATGTCGCTTTTGTACAGAAGCAGACTCTCATGCAAGCAGGGTGGATTTTTGCCACTTCTTTCTAGAATTATGTACAAAATACACTAAATTGTTTTTTGGTTTATAAATTAATATTAACTTTTTTGTATGCAGATAATTCTGCAAATACTGTTTTCTCATGAAGATAAAAAGTATTGTAAAAAGTACGCCGAGTGAAGAACTGTTGAAAGTTAGTAGGTGGATGTCAGAGAACAAGTTGTCTCTTCTTTTGGGCAAAGTGGAATCTAATTCTTTTTGGTACCAGAATAAAACTAAAAAAAAGTTAATGTTGTAGTTGGGGATACAGTACTTGAAGCTAAGAACTCAGTGATTTATTTAAAAGGTGTTTTGATAAATGCATGTTAGGCAGTTGTCAGACTGATAAGGTTTTAACCAAGGTTAATGATACATTTTATATCCAGAATTTCAAAGTTTTTACACAGGAAACCAGTGGTTACCTTTGGCGGGAGCTCTGGTCCAGCCTCATTTTGACTGTTATGGATTCTCATGGTACAGCAGCATTTCTAAGTATATTAAAAAACAGGCTTGAGACATCTCAAAACAAGTTAGTTAAAATTATTGTGAATATTCCCACGAGAACTCTTCTGGAAACCTGTCATTATGAAATGTTGCATGGTCAAAAGTTCAGGATAGAGTAGCTTTGGTAGAGGTGTGTACTGTATACAAAACCGTACATGGTGCTGTTCTTCATCCTCTAGAAGGTTATCTTATTCAGGTGAAAGATATTCAGTTGCCTGGAAGTGTTAAGCTAGTTAACAGTCTGCAAGGTTTTAGACACGCAGTTAGGAAATGGATTAGAGAAGGAGGAAAGTTGATTTGATAGGACTTGGTTTTAACAAATGTCAAACTGTCAAGAGTATTGATAGTTTTTTTTGTTGTTTTTTTTTTCGGAAATGATTGATGTTTGTAGTGATTTTGTATATCATGCCATGCTTGCTATGTCACATCTGCTGCCTTTGGTTGGATATGTTAGGGACCAGAACAGAAATAAGCCTCTGACTGTGTTTTCATATTTTGCACAAGCCCTTTTTTAAGGTGTGAATAATACTAATTGTTTCAAAAACATGTAATGGTTAAATAAATTCTATCAATCAATTGATCAGAACTCGAAAACTCTAAACTGTAATAACAGGAGCGTCTCAGAAACGTTCCACTTTGCCAACTGTAATCTAGACGTCGCTGTATTTTCCGGTAATGTAACAGCTTCTGTTTACTACATGTGCTCTCTCGGTAATATGAATTGTACTAGGACTTGTGCAGGTAAGTTAACTCCTTTTTTGTACTTAATGTGAAATTCATATGGAAAAGTGTGAAGGGGACTTCTCTAATGCTCTCAAACTGTTTCACACATAAAACAAACACATAGTCACTCTTACTCGTAGTTGCTCTTATAAACACTCATTTAGTTCGTTATGGATAAACCGTTTTGATTTACTGATACTCTTGGCTCCGTAAACAGAAGAAGACGTTTAGAACATCTTCCACAAACTCCAACACATAATTCCATTTCGCAAAACACAGCAGCTTGCCTCTATAAAGTCCTAAGAAACATAACTACTTGCAAAAGCAAAAGCAAAGCAGTAGGCCAGTCAGTACAGCACTGCCACATCATATCTGTAGAGATACACTTTGTAAGCTTTGCCAAAGAAGGTCACAGGGGTTAATGTATTAATACATCAGTGTAACACACATCACTAAGACAGAGTTTACCATAATCAATGCTTAGTATTTTTTGTAGAATAAAGGTATGAAAGCACATGTAGTAGAGGCTGTGGAGTGTTAGCGGGAAATTAGTGGTTAAGTCCTAGTTTCAACATTTACCACCACCATATATAGCTACATGAGGTATATAGATACACAAATTCTGAATTGTACACAAATGAGGAAGGGATTGTTTTCAGTTTTGACATAAAGGATACAATATCGTGTTGCAGAATGTTTCAGGATTTAAAAAATTGGAGGGGAAAAAAAATGAAAATGTAAATGTATACAGTGAGCTAAGGAAAAGGGCCAGGCTTGGTTTATGAGTACTAAGATTAACTCAGTTCTCAGAAATGGTGTTTAGACCACAGAGATCTTTATGAAACATTTTGGAAACTACACCCAGGCTCTGTTCTGACTCTCTTTTACGTCACCCAACAGTTCAGTAGTTGTGTGGAAAAGCAATTTGCATGGTGTGCATTTGTGTGTGATTTGTTTCTAGCATTTGGACGCAGAATGCAGGTTAGGAGAACAACACGAGCAGTGTTACTTCTCAGACGGCTGATTTGCCGTGGTCGTCAGACACAGACACTGTTGTGGAGAACTGGTCAGACCCGCTTGGTCCCACAGTGACATCTCATGTTCATGCTCACACGCCGAACTGTGAGAGTGTTCCGAAATATGGGCACTCATTTGACAATGTAGAAATTTGCAGATATTACAGAAAAATGCACTTATGTTTATACATACACGAAGAGTTTCACTCAAGTGCTGTATATCCATTTGTAAGACCTTATATGTTGTGAAAAGCATACAACATACATACACGTATATCATTCAACAGACTGGAGCAAGTATTGTACTCGGTTTAATACTGATTATATTGCATGAAGTATAATAAAAATTAAACAAGCCCACAATGAGGGCAGACCCTCCTTCCTCTGAAAATATCACTTCCTTTTTGCTTCTGAATCAAGACCAGGAAGGAAAAGCACACTCCTTCTTCTCATAAGCATATATTAGCTGGTGGCTCATGCATTGTTATAGAATATACTTTTAGGATGTTGAACACTCTAAAAAACTGAAAATGGAAACATTTACTTATTAAAATAAGCCACATTTTCAGGCACACCTTATTTTTTCTGTACCAAACGTATGTCAAATCAAGACACCACCATATCATATTGAACCAAATTATGAATTTCATGAATTTTTAGGCCCCATCTGAGATCTGGAGTAAAGTTTAATAATTCATGGGTCAATATTTAAGATATTTGGAGGGAACAGAAGGCAGCTTGTAAAGCAATGAAAGACTCTTTGAACTATGTCTACAACCATCAGCCAAGCGTGGTGGAAGATCAGTGCAGAGATCAAGTTTGGGGAGTATAACAACATCTAGAGTTGGTGATTTAATTTTGATTGAAGGATTCATGAATGCTGATAAGTACAAGCAAATTTTAATACACTATGCAATGCCCTGTAAAAAAGGTTTATTCTACAGTAAGTAGTTCCCTGACACTGAAAAATGAATAGTTTTTACCTTATGCCCATTTTCTCTGTGGTCTCTATACAGTTACCTCTGTATATTAAAGGAAGGGTTAGGTGCCTCGTCCAAGGGGTATTGGAAGTACCCTGTCTGTTTTGAGATTTGAATGTGTAACCTTCTGGTTGCTGACTCACCTCTCCTACTGCTAGGGAACCAGCCACCCCAAAGATATATACAGTGCCTTGCAAAAGTATTCAGCTCCTTTAAAATTCATCAGATTTGTCTGGATTACAAATGAGACTTACACAGGTTGTCCCAGCCAGTGTTTTTATTGCAAACCAGTGTGCTCTAAAAATTAAAAACTGAAAGATGCTGCTTGCATAAGTATTCAGCCTCTTCAGAGTCCTAGTACTTAGTAGAACCACCTTTTCCTGCAATAACAGCTTCACACTTTTTGTGGTAAGTTTCTACAAGCTTTGCACACTGCTTGGGAGTTAATTGGCAGATTTGCTGCAGGTTGTTCAGGTTGGTTGGAAGATGCTTGTGCACTACGATTTTCCAATAGTGCCACAGATTCTCGATTGGCTTGAGATCTGGACTTTGACTTGGCCATTGTTGAACATTCGCCTTTCTGTTGTTCAGTCACTCCTGTGTTGCTTTGGCCTTGTGCTGGGGATCACTGTCCTGCTGAAAGGTGAAGTTTCTCCCAAGCTTTATTTTTTTAGCAGACTGAAGCAGGTTGTCCTGCAGTACCTTCTTGTGTTTTGCACCATCTATTCATCCTTTAGTTTTAACATGATCCCCACTCCCCACATACTTCACTGCGGGGAGGAATGGGCAGTGTTAGGTTTCTTCAAAATTGATCACGGTGCTCAAACACTTGGATGTTATTTTGTAGCCTTTTCCTATCTTGTGCATGTCTATACGTTTATCTCTGATTGTCTTCGAATGTTCTTGGTCTTCGTTTTCACAGCTTTTTTTTCAGATTCACAGTCTGATCAGTGGTGCTTTAAAGAAGATGATCTTTAATGATTCGCAGAAGCCAACTGTAAGCCAGCTGCGTCCAAAATCTTTCATATGTGGAGCTTCCATAGCACAGGGGTCAAATACTTTAGCCAAGAGCACTTTTCGGTTATAATTTTTGTCATGTAATGTTTTAATGCATGAAACCAATATTTGAAAGTGTAAAATTTTTTTTAAATAAAACATGATGCAGCAAAAATATCAAATATCAAAATTACAAATTATCACTTAGAATCAAGACAAATCTGATCACTTTTAAGGGGGTTGATTATGTTTGCAAGGCACTGTATATATTTTTTTAAGTCAGCACAATACGATGAAGAATTGTAGGTGCTCAGCTTGTCTTTACCTAACATTCAACTGTATATCTATCTATGCAGCTGAACTCTAAGTTGAATGTAGTTGATTCCGTTACATCTGACACTAAACCTAAACCCAGCCCTAATTTTAACTAAACCCTTTAAACCTAACTCTAATGCTGTTTAGAATTAACTGAGTTTTGTCAAATAGCTTAACAATCTGGGCATCTGTAGATGATCTATAGTGCTGTCAAAATAAAGGATGACCTCACTAATGTAATAACACAAGGCTCAGGGAGTGGCATGTTGTAAACAACTGAACGTCTCTATGGCTCAATAGGTCATTAATTTAATTCTAGCTGTGCCTCCAATCTGCTCCAGGTGGACTTTGATTAATATGTCACTTTGGACAAAACCATCACCAATGACTTCAGCAAAATAATGACAAATGCTTATTTTAGTTTTCCATGACAACAGTGTGCTGCCTGTTTATTGATGTACAGGGACTTTTTTTTGTAAAATCCAGTCCTTTATATCTCTCTGGTCCTTCATGTGTCCATTATCTGTGTGATCTTGTCTAACCAGCAAGATCTAAATAGCACAGAGTTGCTTTTATCTAGTTTTTTTGCACCATGATCTTGAGAAAGCAGCAGACTGTGCCTAACTAGAGAGGTGAAGAAGAAGAGCAGGTCTGCTTTTAATGTTAGATGGTGCTGTCTGTTTGTAGGTGGACTGTGTGTTTATGGTGAGTTTTAGCTGGTTTATTTGTGCTGGTATGTGGGAGAATTACAGTCAGGGATAAACTACCTGCAAGCAGACTTAAATATAATGAACATAAACTATTATGAAGTTGTTTAGTAAATAATGAGGCGTAGACAGAGGGGAGATAAAAGGCAGCTCTGTGCACCAGTGAGAGGCTTTGCGATGGCGAGTGCAGATGCGTGTGCAGTGCTATATGGTGGAATGAGAACAATATCCTTTTGTTTGTCCTGAAACACCTTTTTGCGTCATCATCTAAAAATACATCAAACTCAGCCACCCTCCCCCCTTCCTTCCTCCTCTCTCCCCCATCCAACCCCCTCTTTCCTCTCCTCCATTCTCCCTCTCTTTCTTCTCCTCTTTCACATTACCAAGTGAAGGAACTGGTATGTCAAAAACATTTGAGCTCCAGCATTTCTGTAATCTAAATGAATAAGTAAATCAATGAAGTGAACAGAACTGAGATTGCGAGCACGAATAGCCACAGTGTTTGCTCTCAGGCTCAGTTCATTTGACTTCGTTTATTTATTCATTTAGTTATTAACGACATTCTTAATTAGCCTCACTTAATTCACTTATTCTGTCATGTTCATAATAACCACATTCCAGTCATGCGGTTTGGGTTTTAACATGCAAGTTTGAAGTGTTTTGGTCTAAAAGACAGAGAGTCTCTCTCTCTCTCTCTCTCTCTCTCTCTCTCTCTCTATCTCTCTCTCTCTCTCTCTCTCTCTCTCTCTCTCTCTCTGTGTCTCTCTCTTTCTCTCTCTCTGTCTCTCTGTCTCTCTGTCTCTCTCTCTCTCTCTGTCTTTCTGTCTCTCTCTCTCTCTGTCTCTCTCTCTCTGTCTCTCTCTCTCTCTTTCCCTCTTTTTCTGTCTCAGTCTATTTCTCTCTTCTTCTTTTCCTCCTTTTTCTTTTCTCTGTCTCTCTTTTTCTCTTTTTCTTTCTTCATTCTGTCTGTCCTTTTTCTATTTCTGTTTTCCTCCTGTTTTCTCTCTCTTCTCTCTGACACTGTTCCTCTCTCATTCTCTTTTTTCCTCTTCTTTCATTCTCTTCTCTTATTCTCTCTTTCTTTCTTTCTTTCTTTGTCTTTATCACCTTTCTCTCTCTCTCTCTCTCTCTCTCTTTTCTCTCTGCCTCTCTCAGACTGTGTGTGTGTGTGGGGGGGGGTGGTTCTTCAGAGACAGTGTGTTATGCCCTGTGAGAGTGCAGTGATGTCATAGTGATGTCAATGCCCTTAATTGTAATCTGGCTGAGAGAGGGAGAGAGAGGGAGGGAGAGAGAGTGAGAGGGGAAAAAAGAAGAGAGTTAAACAGTGAGTCACAAGTCAAACTAAGAAACAGACGGAGTGAGTGGCCCTCCACTGCAGAGTCACACAGCAGCTGACTGAGGGAGAGAGAGAGAGGAAAAGAGACACAGGCAAAGCTGATAGAGGCAGAGAGAGAGATAAACACGGAAGCACAACTGGATTATTACACTGTAGAGATGGCAGTGACTGGGGATGAAACAGAATCAGGTAAGAGTGTGAGTGAGTGAGTGTGTGTTTATTTTTAACAGGCAGTTTGAGCTTCTATCTGAGATCAGTGGAGCTGTAACTGTACTGATATGCTGTTGGTGTGGATGCAGCACTGTGTCTTTTTAAAGGTGTTGACAGGGAGTTAAATTAGATCATAAAGCTTCACGTTTCTCTTTTCTGGTTAACCCTTAACTCCAAACTCACTGATGTGTGAAGTTCACCTGAACAGACTGCATTATAAATGTTTAAAAAGTGTGCAGTGACTAAGCATAGAAGATGAACCAGAAACCTTTTATTACTGTTATAGTGCTGTGGCTGTCTTTCAGTGGTTAAAGCTGTGATACTTACAGGGGAACAAAAAGTTACTCCAACTTTTTGCTTTGCTGACAGAAATGAGTGAAGCAGGACAGAACTTTCCTATACAGAGACAAGCATTAACACACACACACAGTCATTCAAACTCTTGGAGACTCCACTGTTTACCAAATCAGGGAGTAAGTGCAGTGTTGTGTGTCTATTGAAACCCATGACCCAGAGAGAACGAGAGCGAGAGAGAGAGGGGGGGTTGTGGGAGGGAGAGAGAGGGAGGGCTTTTCTCTTGACGTCAGTAAATTTCCTGGAAACCAGTGGAAGTGTAGAGCGAGTGAGAATGTAAGAGCAGGAGGGGGGGGGGAATGCGCAAGAGGAACGACGCACACAGTGACGTAAGTGTGCTGTCACACTGATAACACACACACACGCTGTAAAGCACAGCGCTGTCATTTTGTTCAGTGAGGTTCTTTCTCAGTAGAAGATACACTAACTTACCGATGCTAAATAATAAATAATGGTTTTCATCATTTTCACTATTCTTGTCTGTTTGTTTATTGGCATCAGTTGGCAGTTATTTTGTTTTTTGTTTGTCTGTTTAATTATTTATTTGAAGGGTTTTATTCCAAAATGCATTATAGGCCTCTGTAATGATTTTTTTTCATGATGTGTGTTGTTGGAAGTGGGTTTTACACATACAAGAAATATCAGTGCTATATTATGATAAGCACTACCTTTATTAGAGAAATAATACAAATGTTTTCCAATATAAAATCAGCTGTTTCATTATAAATCAGCTACATTTTTGCATGAAACTCTTTATGTAGGTACGTATGTATGTATATATGTATGTAATTATTTGTTACTGGCAAGTTTATGGATCTCAGTATTGCGTTAACATTCAGAAAAAACTGAAATATTTATTATATGTACAGTTAGTTAGTTGCTTATTGGGTCTAGAGGGTCTAGTGTACCTCAATATTTCATTAGCATTTAGAAAACACTGAAGTGTTTGTTTATTTGTTTGTTTGTTTGTTCATTTATTTATTTTTTTTCCAGTATATCATTAGCATTCAGAAATAAAAGTGTCATATACATTCTGATAATGTCTGATGTTTAATGTCTGTAATATTCATTTGGTAGATTAAAAAAATAAATTATGGTAAAACTGGTGAAAAAGAACTGAATAATCTGCCATTCAATCCTAAATATCTCTAGGATTTTTTATATTCATTTTTAACTACTGATTCATTGCTATTTTGACATTTAAGTAGTATTTAGAAAGCTGTGAGTGTCCTCTGAATTTGAATATGTTTTGTTTAGAAATACAGAGTGCTGTAGAATCATATGGGCTGTAGAATTGGTTAGAGTGAATCTGTCTGGTTAGCTCCTTAGTACATATTTGATTTGCTGTGTTGTTTATCTTAACATAAAAGGCTTAAAGTTTAGAAATAAACATGATTAAATAATGCAGTATTTGCGTTTGCATTTGTAAACAGATATAGTGTGTATTTCCTGCTTCTAGCGATTTGCATAGGTATCTGTTTATCAGAAATACAGTTCTTTCCGAAAAAAATTATACCTTCTGTGTTGCTGCATATGGAAAAACACACTGCTGACAGACTTTTTGAGAAAATACTTCAGAGCAATGTGTCAGTGAAAAAAGAGAGTACTTAATAAAAATTCAAAAAATATTAATAATAAAAAGTTAGCAGTCACAGTATGCAGATGACGTCATGATAATTGTTAGGCTGTTAATGTTCATCCATTGCTGGTCATGTTAGCACCTGACGGTGAAGTGACTGTTTCATTCTGTGTCTGTATGAAATAAATAGAAAAAATGTTAACAAAAATACATGATTTAAACATTCTAAAAACAGCTTTTAAACATGTGTAAGTGCGTCCATGGTCCTTCATGTAATCTTACTAACTGCGGCGAGCGTTTTGGGTTCATTACATAAACTAATTAGATCAATTAGTGCTGCACTCTTTTATGCTGGTCTCAAGGGCAAATACGGCAGCGCTGATTGGCTCATTCTGCATTCAGTTCTTTACTATTGGATAACTGGCATTCGTTGTTACCAGATTTTGTGGTTGACCATTTTTTAGCTTTTATTGGTAGGACAAGTTTGTTTTGTGAATATTTTATTTGTTGCTTTTGATAGGCAGTGATAGGTTTTGGATCTGTGGGTGGCCATTAACTTTATTTTTATTTTATTTTTTATTTTCATTGTTTTTATGTGTATAGTTGTTTGCTGATTTGTCTTCACAACTGTGTGTGTGTGTGTGTGTGTGTGTGTATGTGTTTGTGTGTGTTTGTGTGTAGCTGCCACAGGAGACATGCCTGCATATCAGATCCGCTCCCCATCGTCAGGGTTACCGCAGGGTGTTGTCATGGCAGCATCACCGGGGGCGATCCACAGTCCACAGCAACAAGCAGAGGAGGCTACACGCAAAAGAGAGGTTCGCCTGATGAAGAACCGGTATGACACACACCTACACACACTTTGTTCGTGTGCTTGTTTGTTTTCATATTCATGTTTTTTGTTTTCAAGACAAAAATGTCCTGAATTGCAAAGAAAACTAAAGAAAAACAGCACTAACCTACAGCATCAGGACCAACAAGACAGTCTTGACTTTATAAAACAGTTTTTTGCAAAAGCTTAGAAGCAGAAAAAATAGAACCATTTTTAATGAATTACTGTGTATAAGGATAGGGTAAGGTTTAAGCTTAGGCTTAAAAAATCTTATTGTATAGAAGAAAAGCCCCAAGCAAGTCCAACTAAATGAAAATTATAATCCATAAAGGCTTGTCAGTTTCTTTTAAAAAATTTTATATGATTTATTTAACAATGCTTAAAGAAATAAATAACAAAAAGGTGAAAATCCAGGACTGATCTTAAAAGGGACCCTTGAATCCTTCACACCCTTGTGTTCCTGTGAGCCCAGTCATTTATTCAGAAAAGTGATTAATTGATAAGCTCATGCATAACGGAAACACTCTTAAGCACATTCATATTAGAAATCATTATGATGTAACATCAGTTTTCAATCGCTAGTTTTCAAGCTTTTGAAATGGGAAGCAACATATGTACTTCTGTCATATAAGTAATTAATTTACTCATTAATATTGATAGCATTTACCTTGTTGTTCCACATATCTTTTAAAACGTTTCTTTCCTGTACCACCTTGAAAGCAGACATTTCATAGTCACTTTGACATGTGTTCTGGACATGGGGTCAGTGCAAGTATAGCCATTATATTTACTTTCCTGAATGACCAGTAAACCTACAAGGGTCTTCTAAGTTTAAAATGTGATGTTGATAATAGTAAAATAGTTGTAAACCTAACCTAATAAGTTACATGTCATGTATGTATCGCTGCACCATGAAAACAATTTAAAAATATATTTTAGGCCAAAACCCTTTAAAACTATTAGAAAACAATGTCTCCGGTATCATGCTATGTATTTGTAACCATTTTGTGTAATAACTTCATGTGACAAAGCCTTTAGAAGCACCAAATGCTTCAGACGTCTGGTTCCCATCACCACCACTGTGAACGATTCTGACTCAGTGAGTTTATCTAGTGCGATGCCTTTGACATCAAACCACTCTATATTACAGCTTGCTGAACCATTTAATTATGCAGAACTTTAGAAAAATCAGGCGCATCACCCTTCAACCTGTATGTGTTTGGGTATAGGTGGGTTTAAGTGTGCACGTGTTTACCTAGGTGTTTGTTTGTTTGTTTTAACAGGGAGGCAGCGCGAGAGTGTCGTCGGAAGAAGAAAGAGTATGTGAAGTGTTTGGAGAATCGTGTGGCTGTGCTGGAAAACCAGAACAAAACTCTAATAGAGGAACTCAAAGCCCTCAAAGACATTTACTGCCACAAGCCGGAGTAACACCCAAACACACACACACACACACACACACACACTCCTACTTCACACATTTCACACACACACACACACACACACACACACACACACACACACACAGACATGCTTAAAGACTGCTGCAGCAAACACACATACACACATGGACGTGTGTGAGGTTTACAGACTCCCTGGGGTTGAAACTACCTACTTCTCCCTTTTCCCCTGAATCATCAATATATGTTTAATTTTGTTTTGTTTCAAGCCACTCACACGCACGCACACGCACACACACACACACACACACACACACACACACACACACACACACACACACATTCACTGCATTAAAACACACATTGTACATATGAAATCACCCTGGAAGCCATCCTTTACCCCCATATCTATCTGCTACTTTATTAGAAAATATCAACAAGAAAAACAACATCAAGGCTGTGCTAAATTGAATGCTACAGTGGATCTCATGCCCTCAGTTTGACATTTCTGTATTCTCTGGGTGAAACTCAGAGTGTGTACAGAGTGGAGTGAATGGGGAAATTAGTTTTTGCTTGCTTGTTTTTCTGTTATGGTTGAAAGATAATGCACATGAGTTGAAAAAGGAAAATGCTTGTCTTTTAAATTATACTGGCAAGATAGGCTAGGTATCATTCAAAATTGTTTGATATCAATACCAATACCAATAACTATATGTGTTGGATCTGTTGTGCAAAAGTCAGAACCACACTTCATTTGTTTAGATTCCATTCAAAATGGCCGTTAAGTACAAGTTACGCATCTTCCAGCGCTAGTAAAACAAATATTTGGCAGAAGCCTCAAAAACTAAATATAATATTTTTTCAGTATTTAGTGCAGCACCCTTTGCTTTTAATACAGCTTTGATTCTTTTCAGGATATGTTTTCAGTTTTTCAAAGAAATCTAAAAGAATTCCAAAGTTCATCTTAGAAGTTGGTTTTTTGCATTTCCTGATCTCTTTCGCTTCTCATGATCCAAATAATCCCAAACACATTCAGTCATGTTGAGGTCTGGACTCTGGGTTGGTCTGTTGTTCTGAGAACTCCAGTAGCTTCTTTTTTTAATCTGTTTTCTTAGTAACGACTTCTTGTCAGCTACACATCCTTTCAGACCCATAGTGCTGAGTTGTCTTCTCACAGTGGAAGGATGAGCAGAAACACCTGTGGGTTTTTCAGATCTGAAGCAAGAGTGGAGCTTAATTTTCTCCTCTCTCTCAAAGTGCTGTTTATCTGATAGTGACAGTTTGGGCAGTTTTTTTGAGTTCTGGAAACTATTTTCCTTTAACTTTCTTCTTCCTTATTACGCTGGATTGCCTTGTAGCCAATATCCTCACAAATATCTCCTCACAAATGAAACACTTGTACTTAATGTTCATTTTAATTATAAGTTATATAAATGAAGGGTAGTCTCTGACTTTTGCACATTGCTGTACACTTGGATATAGATTCCTGAATGATACCTGTGATACCTTCTTTTAAATTACAAACCAGACATGAGTGTGAGCTGCTGGTAATGGGTGCATTTACTGACTGCAGTGGGCCGCAGACTAATCGAGAAGCCATGACATCAGTAACATGAATACAAAAAGCTATTTGGACGACTAGTCACCAGCCTCGGTTTAAAACAAGCATGTGTATTGGCTCACTGATTGGCTGCTTAGATATTGAAATATGATATTTAAAAAAAGTTTTTTAATACTTTGTAGTACTGGAGTAACTTGGCCAGTACCGTAAAGCTACTGACATTTGATGCCCTGCCCTACAAGCAAGTGTTCCAATGTATAAACAAATAAATGTGTATGTTAGTGGGTATGTTTGTATGTGCTGCCGAGCTGAACTACATATTTGGGTGTTATAAGCATTTTTAACGGGTGTTACAGCTTATAGGTTAAAAGGGTAGATTCTAATGGCTAATGCCGAGGAGCTGTACTTTTGTGCTGTTCAATGTGATTGAATTGTTGGTTTTTAAATGATGAGTTTATGTTCTGGAGAACTGAGGAAAATCGGTCTGTTGTAAAAGAAATTATTTTATCGTTCAAATCCTTTGTGTTTTCAAAATTTCTTGTAATGTTATTAATTACCAGGTTGCCAAATTGGACAGCATTGTTTGCTGTGTGTGTGTGTGTGTGTGTGTGTGTGTGTATGTGTGTGTGTGTGTGCGCACATTTGCCACGTTCGCTCGCCTCCTTCATGTAGCTACTGTAGCATTCCCATTTCAGAACTACTTATTATGACATCATCATCAGCACCAGCCTATCATATTAAGCCCCTGATATGTTCTGTATAGATTTGCCTGATGATGTCATAATAAGTAGTTCTGAAATGAGAACGACTTACTATGACATCATGGTCAGCACCAGCTTATCATAATTCAGCCCCTGGTGTTTTCTGTATAGATCTGCCTGATGATTGATCTCTGCGGAATGATTTGCATATTTAAATATTGCTTTGTGTTGTTTTGCTTTAAGTGGGGAAAAAAAAGTCAATGAAACATGAAACCAGCATCTCCCTGTATTTGTGGCCAGATTTTGGAGTGGCGCTAAAGAGAAAATGTTTATATGCCCTTCCTTGCTTTGAACACTGTTTAAGAAAAGCTCTTATGTCTATTTTTAATAAAATATTTTTCTGAATGTATGGACGGCTTGTTTGTGGCTGATGTCAGGGAGCAACACGGCCTGTGTGTGTGTGTGTGTGTGTGTGAGAGGATGTTACAGAAGTCTCTTAACCACAACTCTTGCAAAATGAGTCATGCATTTTCTGCATGCACACATGCTCATACACACACCTGCTCTCTTTTTTATTCATGTTTCAGCAAAGAACATTTTCAGTGCCTGACCACACTAATGAAATACACTAAACCTTCATCTCGGACCTTTTCTTTTGAACGTTTGATTGAGCACTGTCACTGTATTCTGTGTTTTGTGTGTGTGTGTTTTGTGTGTGTGTGTGTGTGTGTGTGTGTGTGTGTGTGTGTGTGAGAACATCGTTGGCCAGCATCAACCTTGAAGCTCTGTCTTGTCTCGCTCTGTTCTGTTCTTTTCCTGCCCAAGGCCAGAGCTAAACAATGAGAAAAACATTCATAAGCTTTCTTAACTCTGATTACAGTAAGATGTGCCTCAGTGCAACTTACCAGCATTAGTCATTCTTATTTATGTTGTCTTATCTGGGCCAACTTCAGTGACAACAAAGTAACAGAAAAAGTATTTGTGAAAGCCCAAAACTGATTGTTACAACGCTTTCATTATTAGGTTACTGGATGTCTTCTGTGTGTGTGTCTGTGTGTGTGTGTGTGTGTGTGTGTGTGTGTGGTAACACTCTGGAGACATTGCAGTAACACATCAGAATGTGCTTGTTCAGTATGGCATCACCAGGCCTTGGCACTGAACCAGCCTCACATGGAAAATTCCACAGCGAACTCGAGCGCCTCACAGTGGCGTTCCGCGGTACTGCAGCTTCTCCCTGAGATTTAACCAGTTTCTGCTGGGACAGTGACATCTAGAGGCCATGATGAACATCACACCATTATTTTGGACTGTGAAATTGGAATCCTGCTAACACTTCTATTCTTAATAATCAGATATTTTTACTGTACCAAACTATTTATTATACTAACTAAACTATTAAACACTATTATAATCTTTCTTTTGTATAATGTATTTTATATAGTAATTATTGTTATTATTAGAGTATAATATAATAAGTAGAGAGTATAACGTCTATCTATCTATCTATCTATCTATCTATCTGTCTATCTGTCTATTATTATTATTATTATTATTATTATTATTATTATTATTATTTTTATTATTGTGCTTAAAAAGGTGTTTGCAGCATATCTCTGCTGTCTGAACAAAACTTTGTATCTCCTAAAACAGGGGTGTCCAATCTAATCCACAAAGGACCAGTGTGGCTGCAGGTTTTCACTCAAAACAAGCTGGAGCACACCTGATTCCACTTGTTTAACCAGCTGGTTTCAGTCTTCAGACTGCTGATCAGGTGATCTCCTGCTTTGCTGGAATAAAAACCTGCAGCCACAAGTAAATGGAGAAATATTTTTTTCCAAGTCATTTTGAATGATTTCTGCTGGTCCGTTCATCATGAACTTTTGACACAACATAAAGAGCAACTATCTTTTTCAAATTATGTAAAAAATATTAAAATCGGCACGTTGAGATGGAAACTTCTCACGACACAGAATGGTACTCCTAGACAAAATTTAGTTCCAACCCAAACGTTAAGGGCTTGTTGGTCATGTTATGCAGTATTCCATAGCGCAGCATTATATCTTTTAGTTTCACTGGTTTGGCTGAAGTTACAATTTTATAGCGTTTTCACATTTTTCTTCATCAGTGTTCTCTCACTTCATCACCCAGCATGCATTATGCAAATGCATCATACAACCAATTGACTGTAGTCTATGATACACCCACAATCTCTGTGGTGTCAACCAATCCTGACTGCTAGCCTAGCCACTAATCTACAGGCTAATAAATACAACCAAGCTAGCAAAGTCTTACCTCAGTCATCCTATGAAATCACAAAAATAACAGCAATTCTATGTTTATTCAGCCCAAAATTGAAGTTTTTCAACCCTTTCAGCCAGAGAAAAGAAGCCAAACTGAGGTAATTTATCAAGATAACCATGTAGCCTTGCCAGTTTTAGCTTTTCGCTGATTGTCCACCTCACCTGACGAGTCATTTCTGCTGTTTGATTAGTTTATTGTGATTATGATTTGAAGACACTTACTAAAGTTATACACCCCAGTCATTTTTTGGCTCCCTAGCAGTAACTTCAGCTATCTGCCTTCCTCAGCTGCATTCATCAGCAATAAATAAACAATAAACAAAGCAAACAAATAAATAAATCAAAACGGCCTGCTTGAAAAATCCACCCCAAAGTAGTTTCCTCCCACCTTTAAGATATACAGTCAGAAGGTTTTTTCTTAGCTGTTAAAGGGGAAAATCTCTGTGTCACCCCTGTAGGATGATTAGAAATGTAGTGATGGTTAGTTATTTTATTTTGGCCTAAATGTTCTTTAACCCACACATGCTCTTCACATGTGGTTGGCCTCACTGGTTAGGTGGATCTGGTGTGGAGGTCAACTCTGCAGGGTGAGAAGACCACCAGAAGCCAGGTTTGGGGTTTGGGCAGCCCTGTTAAAGAGAATGTGTTGAAACGCTGTTCATATTTACCTACACCATTTACACACTAGGCGGCAGTGTTGTACCTACATCCTCTACTATATTGAATTCTATGCTCAAACTCTAAACTCAGCCTCCAGTTATTTCTAAACGTTTTTTACTTGTCAAGTCACTTTTGTCTAGATAATTGTTTTATACCACTGGCATATCATTTAGCTTGTTTTAAGCATCGTCTCTTAAAACAAACAAATTCTCTGCCAATAGAATGAGACAATTTCACTACAGAAAATAAATTAAAACAATAAGTTGAATAATTGTATAATATTCCTATTACATTACAATTATCTCATATTGAGAAATATTAGATATAATCACTAAATCTATGATACTTTCACTTGCAAATATATTTGTTTATCTTTTTTGCGGTGTGACTTACTCGCAATTTCACTAAATGTGCCATAATAATCACTTACCCTGCTGAAAAATCCAGCTAAGACCAGATTTGTTGTCTTTGGTGGTCGTTAGCCAGATTCTTGGTCTAAGATGGTCAGGGTGGTTGGCCAGTTGGACATCCAGCTGGACTAGTTGAAAACATACCCTATGCTGGATGACCAGTTTAATGAGCTTAACCAGTTTGAGCTTATTACTTATGATTTATTTATTTTCCCTGCTTACGAAATTTAGTAACAAAAAATAATAGAAATGATATAAAACACTTATCTATCTTCCTAATGCACACATAACTCTTGTCTTCATTCCTTCTTTCTCTCTCTTACACTCTGCTCTGAGATGCTTCTTCTCTCGGTCTCCTCTGACACACTGACCTCCATTTGCTCTGACACTGACCATCAACCTCAACTCCCTCTCCCTTCCCCTCCCAGCCATCTTCTCTCCACTCTCCTCCTCCTGCAGTCTTTCTTTTCTTGAACATTATCATCGTCACACCATCCAGTAATGCTTGCAGTGCCGGCTCTACCTAATAAATGACATAAGCAGCTGCTTAGGGACCTGAGGCCACCAGGGAGCCCCTAACAACTTCTGGGTTATTACTGTACCATTACATTGTCTAAGATGCTTGAGTGAGGGTAGAAAAGCAACTAGTGAATCATGTCTCAAAATAGAACGTACACGACTGGTGCAAACAAAAAAAAAGAGAAAATGAGGAGAAATAGCTTAAAGATGAGTTTTGTTTTTTATGGTATTAACGTGTTGGCTTGGCTTGTAGTTAGACAAAAAAGTTGTCGATCTGCAGATCTTTCTGACTAAGTTTCAGCTTCACAAAACATAAGAAACAGCTGCGTTTAACTCGTTTTACAAAAGCGGTTAACAACTTTCTCTGTGGACCAGGTTTAGACACACTGGCTAAGAAGGTGTGACGTTTATGACGAACAGCCAATCACATGAAACATGAGGAGGAGTCGCGGAATCAAACTTCTTAAACTTATAGAAAGAAATTCATTCATAATGCAAAGGCAAAGCTGTTGCCACTGCCACTAGATGCTTCTTGCCACAAGATGGTTCTTCAAGGGTTCTTTAGTAAAGGCAATGACTCTATATAGGACCATACTTAAATGCTTCTTTGCATGGTGAAATGATTCTTCAGATTGATGGAGAATGTGTTATAAATGCTTCTACATAGAACCTTTTTGAAAACGGTTCTATATACACTCTTAAAAAAGAACCTTCAAGGGTTCATTAGTAAAAACAATGGTTCTGTATGGAACCATAAACACTCAAAGAACCATCTGGATGCTTAAAGGGTTATTTGTGTGGTGAAATGGTTCTTCAGATTGATAGAGAAGATTCTATTTAGAATCTTTTTGAAAATGGTTCTATATGACACTAAAAAGGGTTCTGCTATTGTTACGATGTCACGCTTCTTTTAGGGCTACATAGAATCATTTTAAAAAAGGTTCTCTACAAAACTGTACACAACATATTCTCCAGTAACCTCTTTTAGGCCTACATAGAACCATTTTTAAAAAGGTTCTATATAAAACTACACAACATATTCTCCATCAAACTAAGGAACCGTTCACCTTGAGAAGAACCATTTCTATACAGAACCATTGCCGTTACTTAAGAACTCTTGAAGAACCATCTTTTTGAAGTGTGCAAGGTTAGATCCAACTGAGCTTGAAGCGAGCTGGGTATGCAAGAAATACGGTGTTGTGAAATCGAGAATGCTGAGAAAGTTAAAGTCTGTAATTTAATTGTAACTTATTAGAACCCCATAGAACCCCAAACAAGCATCCAATCATCAGCAATAAGCAAATTCTGTAGTTACACACTTCATGAGCAAGCAATATGAGGAGTGTGGAGGCAAAGATCCAGCTTAGGGCCTCTAGACTTGGCTAGAGTTGGAACTAATTTGTCCCTCCCATCCCTCCCTGCTGCCTAGGTTGGGCTTTCAGAGAGAGAGAGAGAAAGAGAGAGAGAGAGAGAGAGCGAGAGAGAGAGAGAGAGAGAGAGAGAGACTGCTCGTGTCTGTTGTATTTTCATGCTAATGAGTGATGGCTCTAACGCTCGCTGTGCGTTGTGCCCGGATTAACAGCACTGCTGTTGCTGCTGTGCGACCCTCGTTATTAACGCAGTGGAGGCGGAAGATGTTTTCCTTCATGGTTCAGAGCCGTTAACCGGCGCTGCTGCTGCTCCTCAGCCCGGGCTCTGAGGTGTTTTCTCTCACTGAAGGCGGACTGTGAGCCGCTCTCTCGCTGAACACCAAGGGACTCCCTGATGGGGAGCACAAGCTCCTGCTGCGCGTCCACGAGCCCCAAGCTCCGGAGCAGCGCGCGCTCCCGACCCGAGGATTCACAAGAGGAGCCGGAGAAGATCTGCGAGGAGCCGAGCTACAGCCTGCAGCACATCAGCGACAGAGAGAACGGAGAAGGTAACGGAGCACACACACTCACACACGCAGCGCTCTGCGTCACTCTGAACCTCGCTGGGTTTTTAATGAGCGCATAAGGGATTCCACCAATTTTTCAAAATTTCTGAATAGTTCAGACCTTGAGATGTAAACAGAGTTTTACAGGATGGTTTGATGTGAGATGGTTCACTGTAGAGAAACTTACAGACTCGGATTTCCTTACAGTGGTGGTGATGGGAACCAGGGGTCACAATGTCTACAGCACAAATATAGCAATTTTATTTATTATCCAAAACCAGCGGTGAACCTGCATGTACCTTCTGAGTTTTTATATGTAATTTTTATGATAGTAAAATAGTCAAAAGTCTGAAAAAATGTAAGCCAAATATTTATCACAAAACTCTCATAAACAATGTCTTAGATTTCAGGCAGCATATATCTAGCCACTTCGTGTAGTAACTTTCTGTGAGGAAGCTTTCAGAGGAATTAAACTCATTAAAACCCATCACCACCACTGTGAACAATACTGACTCGGCAAGTTTCTCTAGAAACAAGCACTTCATGCCAAACCACCCTGAATGACACAACCATTTAATTCTGTACATTTTTTGTTGAAAATTGGTGAACAATTAGTTTGGTAAGAAACTGCCATTTTTTATGTGCTTGTATTTGTGAATGTGTGCGAGCTGCTTTTCTAGAAAAAAACTGCTCCATAGCAAGGCTGTCTAATGTGGGCCCATAAGGACTTTTAGTTTGGCCTGCCGGATAAAAACCCTAAGCTCACTCAAAGAGAGAACAAGCATATCTTTAGACGAAGTCCATCCTCATGTCCTTTTAGGATGAAGTGGTTGATGGCGGGGTCATGCAGCTGATCCTTTGCTTTTAAATTCATCAGCAATTACTTTTCCAGCACTCTGATGGTGATAGGCTGACTTGGATAAACTTCCTAAATCAGAAAATCCATCTTTAGCCCAAGACGCACTCTCCACCAAACAGCAAGCAGTCCCAGCAGTAGAGCTTTAGCTCCTTGGTCGATCCTGTCATCCAGGAGTATCGAGGTGTAATTGCTGGAATGCCTCTCAAAGCCTTTTTTGTGAACCAAATTAAGCTCTGGTGTAAATTGTCCTTTGCTGATTAACTCCAAACTTTCAATAAAAGTAAATCTAAAAAACGCTATGGATAATAAATTCGCAGCAGTGTCCTCTTTCACTAGCGGTAACGTTACAATCGGCTTCCATCATAGACTAACAGGCTAGCTGGCTTTGTTTGGCTAGCTTTGTGTCTCCACAGTTAAAGTTAGCGATAACAAAGCCCACCCATTCAGAGGAAAGATCAGTTGATTTGTCAATTTACTGTCATTTGGAATTGGTCTCTCATTGATTTATTCTTTACAGCAACAGCAGAGGTGACAAAATCCTGATAGGGGGAGACAAAGGGGCTTCTCTAATTTAACCCTTCACATTCCAATACAGATTGAATAGGCAGGTTTAAAGAATTTATTTGCATAGATTTGTATTGGTTTGGTTCTGTATAACACCAAAAACAGCTCTGTTATTGTTACAATATCAAGCTTATAACGATAGAAGAACCCTTTTGGGTGTATGTAGAAACCCTTTTCAAAAAAGTATGTCCAAACACACTCTGCTTTCAACTGAACTGTCAGTTTGAACCTCATATAAACGCTCCACGAACTGCAGCAGTGGGTTTTGGGACCAGCTGACTGTTTAGCTCATTTAGCTTGAACAGTTTGAATGAGTCTGAATGAGCAACATTATGTGTGAGGTCAGTTAGGTGTTGCTGTTGATGTTCATCCTCCATGAGCTGCAGCTGAACAGAGAAATAGAGGACTCAGGAGAGACTTTACAGACTTGAACAACAAATGGAGAGGAGAGGATAAAGAGAGAAGAGAGAGAGGGAGGGGAGACTTGTTGGGGGGAGGTGTGTGTGTGGGGGGGTGAGACAGACAAAGACAGGAGGGAGAGAGAGAGAAAGATAAGCCTGTCTCCCTCTAATTGGTGTGTCTAATTCCTGGCTGTGTGGGGCGCTGATGAGGGTGATGATGCTGGCGAACAGACGATAAAGTGGTTTTTCGGACGAATCAGAGTCTGATCCTGCAGAGCAGCTGCCGCCTTCAGGAAGTACCCCCAAGGGATCCTGGGATAGCACAGACATCTCCAGAGACATGTGTAGCGTCTGATTGTGTGCGCTTGTACGAGCGACCACAGTAACATTTTTCTTGTTCTCACTGTCTCTTCATGTCACAAGAGCTAGACCTTTAATCTTATTACACCCACACCCCCCAGAGAACCTCAGTCCAGACTGTCTCTCATTTTCACTTCCTCAGCTTCTATCAGCTTCTCTCAGCAGCGCAACACACACACACACACACACACACACACACACACACACACACACACACACACACGCATGTGAACAAATTGTTCTGTGAGGGAGAAGGGAGAAAGTCCTCTCATCTGCAAAATGATCTCCTTTCTCTTTCTCTCTCTCTCTCTCTCTCCCTCTCTCTTTTTCTCTCTCTCTCTCTGTCACGGTATCTCTCTCCCTCTCTTTCGGCAAGTGATTAGATCAGCAAATCTCTCATCCATTTTTTCTCACTTTTCTTCTGCATCTCTCTTTCTGTCTCTCAGTTGAATTCAACATTTGCTTTATTGACATGACAAACTGGCATTTGTATTGTCAAAGCAACAATCAGTGTATTAATATACAGGAAAATGCATGGACCATTCTACAGAGTGAGGAAACTGCGGTCCCACAGTATTGAAAAAATAATTAAAGAACCAATGAAATATGTAGATCTTAGATAATTACAAGGATTATATTATGATATATTTAAACCCAAGGGCAATTAATTGAGATAGTAATATGCTAATTATGTACATATTCTATTGGGAGAAGACTGTCGCAAATCCTAACCCCTAAATTTCAACTTGTGAAAATAATACTTACATTTTTTATATTTTTTCAATGGTCTTTTTGGTTTCAGCTGTGCTGTATTCATGTTTGTTCTCTATACACTGTTAGAAATAAAGGTGCAACCAATTGTGTACCTTAAGTTTTTCCAGGGGAAAAATATGTATTTGTATCTTTTCATAACCTAATGTTTTAAAACAGAACAATAAAATAAAAAGCCTGGAGGTGAGACGGAGTGTGTGGAGTCAATATAACTTGAAAGCACATTCTCAGCACTGCAGTGACACTGACGTGGTGGTGTGTTAGTGTGTGTTGTGCTGGTATGAGTGGATCAGACACAGCAGTGCTGCTGGTGTTTTTTTTTTACATAACATATATCTATATATATATAAATAAAATATATACGTATCTCTCTCTTTCTCTCTCTCATTAATTAGAGATATTGTGAGGATGAGTTGGTGATAATTGGGTTGTGATGAGAGTAATCAAAGTCTATTAAGCACAGTAAGGGAACCCATTAAGAACCTGACAGAGAGAGACTGAGTTCTACATGCTTCTAAGAATTTTAAATAATACATTTTTCATTTTTTTCCTTGTTCTAAATGTGTGTTTTTATCTCAACATTGCACTGTTTAATATCTATACCGGTCTACATCAGCATATAGCGTGATACTGACATACTGTCACATTACATGACAGTTTTAGTATTTGTGTATTTTACTGATGGTGTCCAGAACCTGAGTTAACTGCTGTGGATTTCTTTTGTTGAATCCTGCAGTGTTTTAAAACAGCAGTTTAAAATGCATAAAAAGTAAATAAATAAGTTAAAAGTATAACTTTCCTTTATGTAAATGTGCTTTGTGTCTGTTTAAAGCTTAAAATACTTTGTAAGGATCCCTTTGGTGTAAAAAACAGAGGAATAGGAGATGTGTTTAAAGAGAAGAAAAAGGAATAAAACCAATAGTCCAATTAAGCTTTGTCAGGTGTGTAAGACATTCCTTTAGTATACAGTAGCAGCACTCATGAAAAGTGGGTTCACTGACTTTATTAATGTTATTGACTTTATTAATTTTAACTTTATGTAATACCATCTGAAACGCCTGCTTTAAAAAGACCAACACAAGTGAAAACATTTGCGAACACTTCTGTAAACACTCAAAAATGAGCTTTGAAAAATTTGTCATGCCAGTAAAACACTAACAAAATCATTAATGAACAAGAGAGAGGCCACTGTAAATGAACAGACCACTAAAACATCTGCTGGGTGTTTTAGAGTGTATATGTAAGCTAATTCCTCTACAGCCAGTTTCCTGGACCAAGATTAGGCCTAGGTCCAGACCAGTGGTTCCCAACCCAGTTCTCAGGGCCTCCCAGAACGTCCACGTTTTTGCCCCAACCCACCTCACAACACATAAGCATGATTGGTCTTGACTAAAAAGCATTTTAAAAGATGAGTCAGCATTGCCATTATAGTGTAGCACAAGCCTATGCTTAATCCATGCCTGATAAACTGCCCTATAATGATTTACCTGTAGACAAGGACTTCAGAGGTTTTTACAGCCTTTACTGATTAAATAAAGGATATTAAGCTATTAATATGTTTAAAAAACATATCAGTACTGGACAAAGTTCATTTTGTGGCTGCTGCTATTTAGAAGTCATATCGGTTAGTATCAACATTTTATCAATCAGCTTTCTTGATTCATGTGTATTATTAAATATTTACTCTAGTCTCATATTCCATATCACATACATTTGCTCATTATTTGTTTGCATCTTTATAATCCTTTAAACCCTAAGGGACTCATATGCAGGGCTACACTTTAATTCTTGACTCTCATAGCTATATAACATATGTTAGCTTTATAATTCTTACATAATACGTGTAGTAGTTGCTGAATAATAGGCCTAACTGAGGTATGTCAAACTGTGACCTTCCAGGCCAAAGTGCTGTGGTGATTAGCGTTTACCCTCATCTAACACTCTGAATTCAGTTTACGAAGGTCTTGCTAATCAGCTGATGAGCTGAATCACTGTGTTTAATGAGGAAGTGTGCTGAAGTCTGCAGTGTTTTGGTTCATAAAGACTGGAGCCTGACACATGTGGTCTAACTGAATAGTTTAAGTTTAAAGGGAATCTGAGGGCTTAAGTTGACCAGTACTGAAACAACTATACGTCTGAAAGTTGTAGACACCTGTCTGCCCAATATTTCTTCTGAAATCATGGGTGTTAAGGGGGAAAGTGGTTTGCTGCAGTAACAGTCTCTACTGCTCTGAGAAGGTTTACTCCAGATGTAGGAACATTGCTGCGAGGATTGACTTGATTAAGAGCTTTAGTGAGGTCAAATACTGAGGCTGGATGATTAGTTCTGGATCGCAAATGTCACTCCATCTTATCCCAAAGGTACTGGAAGGAGATCAGTTATTTTAGAGTTGCACTGCTCCACAGTCCAATGCTGGGCTATAAACCCCTTTAGCATGGTGACCTTAGGTCATGTTTAGCTGCTCCAGAGCGTCCCATTCCATAGACAATGGTGTTCTATGCAGAGTGCATAGCTGTGTATATGCATTTTTAACACCAGTGTGAGCAAAGAGTGCACCTTAGTGGAGGTGTCTAGATATTTTTGGACATTTAGTGAATGTTCCAGGGCACTACCTCTTGAAAACAAAGTGATAATTTCAGGAAATAAGTTAACTAATCCCAAAATTACTCCCTTTGCCCCCCTTGTGGTAGAATAGAGTTACTGCAGGTCTGCACTACAGCTGCTGCTCTGCATGTGTAGCTGCTTTTTTTTAGAGCAAATTGTAATGCAGCTAACATACAGTAAATCTTAAAACATTTGCATTGAATAATACAAACTAGTCGTAGTTGATTTGTAATGTCTAGTTGGGTGGACTGTTGATTGTTTTTTATAATTTTATTTATTTGCAGAACTCAATTTGGAGAGCAACCCTTCAGATCATCCACGAGCCAACACTTTATTCCTCAGCAAGTCACAGACAGACAGTAAGAATCTCTCTACGTGTGTGTGTGTGTGTGTGACAGGGTGAAAATGTAAGTGTTTATTTTAAAGATGGTGTCAAGTTGATTGCAAATGTTAAAAACTCCAGTCTCAATGATACTGAAGATATGTGGCCTGACAGTCATTAACCAAAGTTAGATTGCAAAAACTCTGGACTGTGTGGGTGACTGACAGTAAGTTAGTCATTGCAGCAGGTGTTGTTTACTTTTTTAAGCTTTTGTTTTATGGCAGAAGTCTGCCTGAAAGTCAGAATTGGAAAAATCTGCCCTAATTCTGATTGATATGATGTGAAACATGACATAGTCCCACGCACTTAAATCCAACTGAGTAATGCTTAGTTGAAATGACTAATAATGTTCTTAATTTGATAGCCAGTAATACATTCATGCAGGAGCCTGCGGCTAAAGCATAAACAGGTTAACAAAATAAGTTTAAGGCCCCTTTAAAACAGTCTACTGGTTTTAACTGACTCTCTTTCTCGCTCTTTTTCTCCCTCTGTAGTTCAGGATAAACGTAAGAGGCTGTATGTAAATCATGTAAGTACAGTGAGTGCCTTCAGGCAATTGATATTAAATGATATAATAAATACCATTAATAAAGGATATTATTTAACCTTATATGCATCAGTATTAAACAGACTCAGCTTTTCAGAATCTTCTCTCTCTCTCTCCAGCATCATGGCACAAGCAGAAAGAGATACAGTTCCTGTTCCACTATCTATCTGGATGATAACACAGTCAGCCAACCCAACCTCAAATTCACCATCAAGTGGTACAGAAAAGGCTGTCAATACAACACAAACTACACATCAACTACAGCACATGACATCACACTGCAAGACAGCTGTGCCATATCACTTGTGCTTCCTCTTACATGTCAGACATAATAGCAGCTCTCCTGATCATGAACAGTGGAATCCGCTTCTGATTTTGTATGTGTGAAATGTGTTTGTTGTTTTTGCAGTGTCTCTTTGGCCATTTATTACCACATAAAGAACAGGTAAATGGTTCTGCCTGTAACAGTACTTTTGCTTCTGTATGCTATTCAGGTATTTTTTGTCTTGATTTACTTTTTTAATTTGTTTGTGTGTTCTTATTCTGACCTCCAAAAACCTCTGTGATTGGTTGATTCAGGGATCCGGATGGCCAGTCACTGCTGGATATCTTTGATGAGAAACTCCACCCACTATCGGTGATTCTCTCACACAACATGCTTTATGTGTGTGTTTGTGGACCGGGTTTATGGCACATTGTGGGCACCAAAACCTGTTGATACACTCAGGTTATGGAGGCCTTTTTCCCTTGTGGGGACCACAAGCTGCTCCACAAAATGTAAATCATTAAATTGTAAGATGAGGGTAAGATTAAGGTTAGAGTAAGGTCAAGGTTAGGGTTAGGTTTAGGGCAAGGGTTAGGCCAGTAGTAGTTCTGGTTTAGGTTTGGATAAATCTCCAGCAAATGAATGGAAGTCTATGTAATGGCCCCACAATTCACAGAAACAAGATTGTGTGTGTGTGTCTGTCAGCAAAATGTAAGTTCCATGTTTATTATTCTACAGAAATAATAAGGAACATATAAAGGATATGTATGTGTTTTCTTCGCTGTAGAAGTGTGAGGTACCTGAAGACTATGATAAGCAGAACCCGGAGCAAAGGCACATCTGTCGCTTCATCAGAACACTGTTCAGCTCCGCTCAGCTAACTGCTGAATGTGCCATCGTAACACTGGTGAGTAGAAACACAAACACACAAACTTGTTTTATCCAGGCAATAAGTATTTTTATTTGTACAGAAAAAAAACATTAATGTTAGAATAAACACAAATAATATAAATAACATAAGTAGTGATTTTATTCATTTTCATTTCATTTCCAAACTTCTTGTCATAGCAGCCTGTGTTATTTGTAGTTATCAGGCGATCCATGGCTCATCTAATCAATGTTAAATTATGTTTAATCAAGTATACTTAAGTGTAAACAGGCATTGAGGAGACGTCTGGAACCAAATTTTGTTCTTCATAGTACCTCACAAGAAAGCAACCACTTTTTTCAAAATAAGACATTCTTGTTACTTTTCACTTCATACTAGAAATGGTAAAAAGCATAACGCTACATTATTTGAATTTAACATTAATATAAAATGGTCTAATTCACGTCCAATTCAAAATACATTAATTATAAGCTTTACAGTAAGGACACACAGATTAAATATTAAATATGAAAACATGGTATTTAGTTTTTTTGTAAATCCAGAGAGACCTAGATAAGATTTCCTACACTTTTGTCCATGTACTCTTTGGCTGAGCTAGGTTTCCATTGAAAGTAAGTTTGTTTGGCTTTGAAAAAAACTTAGTTGGCTCATTTGGTCAGTGTCGCAGTAAGAAAAAAAATTAAACGTAAGTAACTGATCAACAACAGTATTTATTGTTTCGATTTAACATTTATACAATGCAGCTACAATTAAAAAGATGTATGTGAAAATGTGTTTTACTATGCCCACTAACAGATGATGCGAATAGGCCTCACTGCAAAAACCAGCAATGACTGGCTAAGCTAGCTTGTCAGCTAGTATTACAACACATATTTGATCTAATACTATTCTTTGACTTAAGTATTACTTGTATACCTCATATGTGCATTAAAAAGACCAAATATGTGAGAGATTAGGGGGCAGAGGGGCAGGGAGGGGTTTTTTGTTTACATATTGATGAATGTGCCTGCACGGTGCACTAGTTTAGTTCATCTTTAGTACAACCGGCCTAAATGGTCTGACTGACAGGTCAAGCTACCGCCCAGAAAATCTCCTGGCACTCCTGTTAAACAGTCCAGGCCAGCAGGGGCCCAATACATTTTTGCACCATGGACTCCAGTGCACCTGCCCCTCCACCCCCACAGTAGTTACACCACTGATGCCGCATGTCAAAGTCTGGGACATACTAGATGGTAAGTGAACAGTTGGTTTTTGTAGTCGACATGCTGGATGAGGGAGAAAAGAAGACCTAAGCAACTTTGGTAAAGGCCAAATCCTTATGGCCTCACGACTGGGTCGGATCTTCTCCGAAATGACAATAGCTTATGGGGTGCTCCCGGTCAGCAGTGGTGATTACCCACCATCATTTCATGGCGCCCCCACTTTGCAACTTACAGGACTTGGAGTATCCTAACATCTTGGTGTCGGATACTCTTGACCATGTCTTGACATTGAGCAATTTTGGCAGCACGCATAGAACATTAACATATTAGGCAAGTGGTCATGATGTTTTGGCTCAGTAGTGTCAGTATATATGACCTCAGAAACCAGAAGTTTTGTCCTTTTACACCAGAAGATACAAATACAAGGACAAAAATTTCTGAAACCAAACACATTCTCACACACACACACCAGTTCAAATATACCGTATTTATACACCTTCCTTTCTCTGTCTCTGTCTCTCTCTCTCTCTCTCTCCCTTACTCTCTCACACTCCGTAGGTGTATCTGGAGCGCTTGTTGACGTATGCAGAGATTGATATGTGTCCAGGGAACTGGAAGCGTATTGTACTGGGGGCCATCTTACTGGCCTCTAAAGTGTGGGATGACCAGGCTGTGTGGAATGTGGACTACTGTCAGATCCTCAAAGACATCACAGTAGAGGACATGTGAGTTTTTTTTTGAGTCACACTTTGTGTTGATTATCTGTTATATCTCATCTGCTAATGTCTGTCAAGCTCAGATGATTATCAACAACATTAGAGTCAGAGCACTTAAATAACTTGGGTTAAAAGAACAGCCACCCTTTTAGGTGTATTCGAGTTGTGGTTCCTTCATTTTAGGTGAACGTATCATTGCTGCCATAACAAAACTGCATATCCACAGAAAGGTTACATTAAAGAATGAGGGAAAAAGCTTACATTATCTTTTATTTCAAGTCATTTTGGATCATTCTATTGGTCTATTCATCATGAAATGCGCACACAGTGTTGAAGGAGAATTCCAATATTTCTGCGTATTTCAGTCATTGAGGTCCTCATAGTTGTACAGCATGGTTTAATCCAGCAAATAAATAGAAGAGCATTTTTCAGTTCTCTGTAGAGGATGTGCTGACTTATTTTCACTTATGTCAAACATGCAGTTTGACAAGGAATGTTTAAACCTTTGCATATGACTCTATCTTGGCAAATCTGGAACACTTTTGCATAGGTGAGCCTATAGGAAGGCATTCTTTTCCTTCATCAGATCTCACTGTTGTCTAGGAGAAACTACAGAGATATTAAGAAATAGTTTTTAAAGTTTTTTTCTTGTGGGTGGCCCCATGTGCAGGAATGAGTTGGAACGAGAATTCCTGGAGCTGCTGCAGTTCAATATTAACGTCCCGTCCAGCATTTATGCGAAGTATTACTTTGACCTGCGTTTGCTAGCAGAAGCCAACAACCTCACCAACCCTACTGAAGCCCTCAGTAGAGAAAGAGCACTTAAACTGGAGGTGGGTGTTTATGTGGGTTTTGAATAAATACTGTTTTGCTCACGGCAAAGTTAACCAATCTTTCTCCTGTCTCTCCTTCCCAGGCAATGTCTCGGCTGTATGAGGAGTATAAGAATCTTAGCAAAACATCACCCCAGCGTTCTGTCAGTGTTGACAACCTTACCATGACGAGATGGGTCCCAGCCATTTTATCATAACACAAACAGACACAAAAAGGAAGATAAAGAAAAAAAACGAAGTTTCTCAATCTTCCCATTTCCTCCAAACACTGTAGATGAGCACTGGAGCTATGATGCTAATGTAGCAAAAAATTAATGGAAACTTACACCAATTAATTAGCATTATAAAATGCATGCCTATATTATCACGCACTTTCCTTAAACTACATTGAGTTTTTAAGTAATCTCAAATAGACTTGTTATGTGGTTTCTGACGGTGTTGCCAGATTGGACAGGTTCCTGCCAAATTGGACAGACTATGATTGGATTTAGCAGGGGAAAAGCTCAGAATTTGGGCTAGTTTGTCATTATTTTGGTGGGTTTTAAAAAAGTATGTAAAATCAATAAACTGCATTGCTAAATAATGCAGCTGATATGTGATTAGGTTTTACTTCTCCCTACATCCCATCTGTTATTCATACTTTGACTGACATACATTTCAGTCACTCTTGTTGAGAGGAAGCCATAGGCCGGCCCATCTGTGTCATTCACAGACAACTTCGGTGGTTAACATACTCAGTTTATTACTGATGTAATGGATGCACGTATGGGCCTAACACAGCATAGAATATCCAGTTCACATGGCATTACTGACTATACATAGTTCTGCTAGAGCAGAAAATTGGAACGGCCAGTGATATTTTGGCATAGCCTTTAAAGGTAAGCAAGTTTTAAAAATGTATATGAGGAATAGTTATGCTTGCAATATTATTGCTATTCATTTGCCTTTCTGACTCCATTGGATTATGGGTCCTACCATATACAACATAAAAAAATTTGATACTCATTAATAATGTGATAACATTGATGAGTTTGTGCATGCTCTGCAAGTTTTGGAAATTAGATGCACATACAAAATAATTTATTTTATTAAAATTACTTACAGCTTTTGTTGAGGTGTTTCTTAGAGTTTGACAGGGATATTAACATGATACTAAAAAGCTTTTGGCTCTTTGCAGCAGTGATAAAATAAAAGATCAATAGTGCCATCTAGTGACAACTTAATTTTTTTTTTTAACATTTTCAAAGGCAACACATGATGCCATGTCAATGCTGTTTTACTTCATATTATGTTTAAATGACTTTTTAATGTATAATTTTGTGCAGTTTATCATGCATTTTGGTGGGTTTTAAACATGTTTTGGCTGGAAACTATAGAAGAAACCCTTTTTTCTGGAGCTGTACTGGGTGGATAGAACACCATTCATCCAGAAGTGTTAGTGTTTTGATGTTAGTGTTGGAGAGCTCTATTTCACATGTCTGTCCAAAATCATTAATAGGTGTTCAGTTGGATTAAGATATGGGGATTGCAAAGTGCCATAGCATTTGATTTCATTATAAGATAAAGGTAATAAGATAACATAACCTTGTATTGGTTTGCAGTTACCCTTCCTCTAAAGAGACAAGTAGACCCAAACCAAGCTAGCAAAATGCCCTGCACAGCATAACAGGGGCACTAGACCCACTCGCTGTAGGGGTCAGGCATTCAGGTATTTTCACAGTGCACACCACACATGCACTCGCCCATTTGTGGAGAATATGGTAAACAATGACTCATCTGACCATTTGACCGTTTTCCACATCTCTGTTGACCAGTTACTGTGATTTTTACAGCACTGAGCTCTGAAATGTGCATTCATCTTTGTAATGAGAGGTTTATGATCTGCAACTCTACTATCAAATCTCTATCTATGTAGTTCATGCTGACACAGTCTGGTCATGTCCTCCACTGATATTCTCAGTCACCTGGGAAATATTTTCTCTTTTGTTTGTTCTTATCACATATCACACTACTGTATGAGCAACATGGTCATTCAGTATGTACTTTCAACCACAATTTCCAAAGCCATTTACTGATGTTGTTCCCATAGATCTAAATGCAAATGTCATGTAACATTATAATGTTACCCATCTGTATATTAGTCTCATAGCTCCAGTGCAAAACTAGAAAAGGAAATTTCATACACCAAACACCTCTTGGCTGATTTGACTACATTTGATTTGAAACCAAACTATCACATTATTCAGCAGTACGGAAAGTCAGGAGATCCACAGAACACAGGATCAAGCATCAGTGACTACTGATGGAAGATGTCTATTTCTAGATACAAAAATAATAGTACTAATCAAATGGCAACTGTCCTACTGGTTCCAGGACTAAAGACTCAGGTACTCCAGTACTATGCCATGGCCTGCCTCTCTGACCCTCTGGGTAGCAGGACTGGTCTTACAGTTTCATAAGTCTCACAGATTCATAAGCTGCAAGTCCATGGCAGTACATTCACAGTAATGTTAGTCCAGTGGTTTTCAATCCTGATCCTGGAGTACAACCACCCTGCAAGCTGTAGTGTTCTTCCTGCTCTAAAACAACCAGTTCATATCAGGAAGGGCTTATTAATTAGTTAATTATTTGTACCAGGTGATTTAGGAGCTGGAGATCCCTAAAATGTGCAGGGCAGTGGTACTACAGGAGCAGGATTGAGAACCACTGTATTGGCCCATGGTACACTGACCAAGCATATCAACCGCAAACATTCTGATGTTGATTGTCCAGAAAAAAGACAAACCAAATCAATAAGTGTGAACTGGGGGAAAGAACATTCCCACCAATCACACACAGGGATACTGCGTTAACTCAGCATTTGTCTTTGTTGGTATTCTGGAATGTTCTAGAATGGCATCTAGATTACACAGTGTTTTTACATGATCAGGGTGTCCTGTATTCTCAAATTAACTCCAAAAATCCTTAGATGTTTGGAAGCTTGACAATTGAATCATGGAGAAATCTTGGAATATGAAAGATTTTTTAATACCATTGACAGCCTATCCAATATTGTCCAACTAACCCAAATATGGTGTATAGAACGAACCTGGGCTGTGACTGAAATGGATCCCTATTCCCTCATTACAGCAGTTACCACTGATAAGCAGCAGGCAGTAAACATGTTAGAACAGGGGCGTACATTTCCGCAAAGGGCTGGTGTGACTGCAGGTTTTCATTTAATCAAAGCAGGAGCACATATATTCAGTCATTTCAAAACGGATCAATTGATTAAGCAAGTGAAATCCGGTGTGCACCTGTTTGCTTGGAATGAAAATGTGCAGCGACACCGGCACTTTGTGGATAAGATTGGACACCACAGTTAGGATCTTTGTTGTTATCTGTACAGAGCTGCTGTTTTCCACTTGAAAGTCAAGAAAGTCTGATAAGTTTTGTTTTAATGGCTCAGCGGCCACAGCTAATGTTAGCTAATATTACGTTGCTAGGTAACAAGAGACTTACAATGCCCACAATATTCAGATGATGTAATAATCTGCAGTGTTTCACTAGAAATTACATTACAAAGTGCATTGTCAGAGAATGTACTGCCTTCACAATTACTTTGGAATTCCATTTACAAATCAGATACTAAGTGAAAAATGCTAATGCATGTAATTCCCAAAAATGTAAATCCCTTTCAGTCATAGCCCCGGTGTATTCTTTCTCTGAATATTCTATAGTCAACGCCAGTGTTAAAATGTTGAGGACTGGTGGGTTCATGTGTTTTCGTACCCTTGGGATTATAGAACAGCTATCATATACTAGAATTAGTATATTGCGGCTGGGGGAGGCTTTGAATTTTAGAGGATCCAGTGCTGGGATTAGGGGTAGGTTTTGGAGTCATTGTGCTTTGTTGCCTTTGACAATCTTTTAAGGTCTTATCAGGGTAATAGATACAACTTGTAAATAGATATTTACTATGTTCATCTTAATGTCTTCTGCCAAAGACACTGGAAACCAACAAAATGTCTAATTTTGAAGCCTGGGATAAATCTTGTGTCTTACAGTATTTAGGAATATGTATTTTTTTTTTATTTGTTACACATTTATTTATTATACACTTGATCTGTTTTTGCAGGGATATGTACCATAAGGAATTCTTTTGTAAAAACAAATGAACAAGATTCTAAGTTGCCCTGAAAATATTACATCTACTGTATTGATATGTATTTCTTTACTTTCTTTGTAATAAAAGAAATGCAAAGACTTTTAAAGATGTTTATTTTCTTTTTCTTTAGGCTGTTGCTGCAGTATTTAGATTTAAAGCATTTGACAGTGTCATTTCTTACTTAGCACATATACTCAAGCATGCACCTTGACAACAACCTCACCATTTTATTATATACCATGTCGTGAATTTCCTTAGCAGAAAATATCCAATATCAGGTTTTTCCCAGTTTCTTATCAAAACCACCAGTATACATGGGGTTGGACCACTTATAAATGCATAAGCAGATATATGTTTTTTAAATGGATGAGAAAGTTTAATGCATTCTTTATTTGCAACTGTTTGGTGGCTGGACAAGCTTTACAGAACAATAATTCCATTCAACCACATGTCCAAAAGTTTGCAGACACCTTTCTTCAGAAATCAAGGACATGAACAGGGAATTTGTCCCCTTTGTTGTAGTAACATCAACTCTTCGGTGGAAGGCTTTACACCTAATGTTGGAACATCAGCCACAAGAGCATTAGAGAGGTCAGGTACTGATGCCACTCCAATTCATCCCGAAGGTATTCAATAGTGCTCCAGCAACCTAGAGAACACAGGTACACTGTTTCCAATGCTGGGGGGCTTTATACCCCTCTAGCCGACACTTGGCATTGGGCACCGAGACCTTAGGTTAGTTTGCGGCTGCTCCAGTGTCGTATTTTATTAATTATGCTTTTCTGTCGAGATTATACAAGTTGTATGTACGCAACTGAACATCCGTATCAGCAATGGGAGTTTGAAAAAGTTAGAGTTATTTATAGAGTTAGTTACTTAGTTATTTATATTTGGATACATACCGTCTTCTTGCTATACCATTTAAATTTAATTACACGATTGATTAAATAGCTAGTTGATATTTAAATGACAAAAACAAGACAAACATGTGTTTTTTTCTTTTGACAAGATTGTACACACAACAAACAACATTTCACCAAATTCTGTGCTTTTGTTATCACCAATAGCTGCAGTGTTTCAGAAGGACAGTCCGATTTGCACATGCACTTGCTCATAATTATAACTTGTCATTTGGGAATGTCCTGGTCTAAACTTCTGAATGCAGGACCAAACTGGGCAAAAGCTTCCACTGCATGCAACTCTAAGCTCAAAGGTCATATTCTAACCTCACACATAGTGAGCCAGGAGAACACATGGGTAACACGGCAATGTACTGCATACTGGACAATTAATTTCCATTTATTTTGCTAGTATCATTTAACTATTTAAGTGTCTTGAAGTCAAATATGTCTTTTACAAGAGAGGCCTGGCAACACTGTGCAAAGATGTTTGCATTTGTCCTTTGCGTCTTCTGACTGACCTGGTACTGCAGCTCCATGCATGTTTGTATGTGTGTTGAAGTATGTAGACAATGGCAGGTTACTGACATTAACAAGTCCTTTATGGGGTCTGAGGTAAGAATAGACCCTCACACACTCACGCACCAGACCACTGTATCTCCTTACTGATTTACAGAGACACTGAGGGAAGATACGCAAACCATGAGAATGGAGGGATAGAAACAGAAACAGAGAAGGACAAGAGAGGAAGGGAAAGAAAACAAATAAGAATCATAGAAAGACTCTTGATGTTGTGGACACAACATTTTTGGACCACAGCTTTGGTGTCAGTATGGAAGAAGTGAATGCAGTGGAGATCCTCTACATCAGCTTAAACCAAACCATACCATTTATAGGTGAGTCACTTTCTTTCCCATACACCACATAAAATAACCTTAAGACAATTCTTTAAACATCTTACACTCATTTCCAGTGGCCTAGTTACAAATGTTTTAGTTCACTGTATTGGCAAACAAAAAAGTGCTTCAGATTTTTATCATTTGAGCAGTTTCTTTGCAAACTTCTACAGGTTTGCATCCAAAATGCCTTTATACACTTCTGAGTAAATGATCCCACAAGTGAACCCAAGCTCTGCAACACAACTGTAAAGGCTGGAATACTCTGGCCAGACAAACACAGGCAAACACAAACATCTGGTTGACGTGGCTCACCTGTGTTTGACTGTTAAAAGAATCTAGAATGCTCTCTCTCCGTTCAGTTTGGTTCATTTTGGGCTTGTCAGTTCTTTTTCTGGACAGTTTAAGGACAACTAACAACTGCATGTTTGTCTGTGATTGTCAACATACTCCTGCCAGAAAATCAGACCCAAATAAACAGAAATTAGGCTGAAAGCTAATATCATCCTAACATGATAGCAATATATGAATATACAAACATTTAAATAATCTTTATTGTTGCAATGCATGCGTAGATGTTTGTAATCAATCAATTAGCAGAGAAATCTTTGTGAAAGAAACTTTAATCAGAGGTTTTTATTTTGGTCTACTCAAATAATACCATCTGTTTGAAACATTATACTGTAATGACTTTTAAACTGATATTGTATATTGATGTGTGAATTATGGCAAATATGATGTGTTGCAGTGTTTTGCATGTTGTATTTGAAATTAAGTCTAAAACGTGTCTGGCTGAAGTCCTAGTGCGCCACTGCAGAGTTCAGCGTTCTACCACATTAGCCCCTTAAATGAAGGACCCAAGTTTTTCATGTAAATCATATGTTCCAGGTTATAACTAAAAAATACGCCTTAGGATGTAATAGCCTGAGATTTAAGGGGTTAAACTCATCAGCTATTAATAAGGCTTTCATGAGTTGAATTCAGTGTGTTAAAAGCTGTGACCTGCCAGGAACTGAGTTTGACCTGCCTGTTCTAGAGGACGTCTAACAGAACCAACTGATTTGTCTGTCTATATGTGTTACTTTTCAGGTAAGGTGTGGCTGGCGGCATTTGTCCTCCTACGAGTCTTCGTTCTTCTTTTCGCTGGCTTCCCTCTCTTCTGGGACGAGGGGGATCGTTTTGTGTGCAACACCATCCACCCAGGCTGCGCCAGTGTGTGTTTCGATGCGTTTGCACCCCTCTCCCTGTGTCGCTTTGGCTTTCTACATTTAGTGTTTGTATGTCTGCCCACCATTCTGTATGTCACACACCACACACACAGAGTGCTAACTGCTCTCACTTGCCGGTACTTCACACAGAAGCACACACTTCCACTCAAGCTTCAAAAACCATGTCTAGGAGGAACTAAACTCAGCACTGATAAAGGTTTTGTGGGATGTTTTACAGGACTGTACTTGTTACAGCTTATTCTGCGTGTTTTTCTGGAGCTGGCATTTGGTGTAGGCCATTACCTCCTGTTTGGGTTTTCAGTGAGACGGGACTTCCTGTGTTTGCAGCCACCGTGCAGTCCTGCAGTGGAGTGTTTCACTACCAGACCCACTGAGAAAACGTTCCTGCTGCAGTGGATGCTGAGTAACACAGTCCTGTCTGTGATCCTGAGCGTTGCTGAAATGTGGCTTGTGTTGAGAGGCTCTATCCGACACAGAAAGAGGAAGGCTGAGGAGGAGAATGAAGGAAGGATGAACAGCAGTGAGAGACAGAAGAGTGATTTTATGAGCAAAGGAAACAATGAGAAAGTGCCTGTATCTCCAAGCTCTGCCCCCTTTCCCTTCAGGAAGAGAAAACCTAGCGATGACCCCATTTTGACTCCATCGCTGACCCCAAAATCCAGTCTTTCACCATGGAGTGAGGCAGGACGAGCACACACACCTTCATGCTCACATACACTCACTCCTGAGGAGGCTTCTGAACAGGAGGGCAGTGAAGTAGTCCTGTGCTCAGCAGAGAGGATGAGGCAGTGGAAGGGCCGCTGTGCAAAAAATGGAAGGGTTAAAGCCCCGTTAACGTCAAATTGGGCAAAGGCGGAGCCATGGAGCCCTGCCCCAAAACACGCATGGCAAGCCAGAGAGTACATACCTGTTACCACAATGGCAGAACACACTTCAGACAGTAGTGAAAGTCAGGACAGGAAAGGATGGGTGTGAGAGAATCAAAGTAAAGCAATAGTTGGGCAAAGTAGGCGCAATTATGTGGTTTCTGACACTCTACACATGCTGTTGTCTATAAAAATGGGCTAAATGTTGCATAGCTAATATAGTAGTAACAGCCATCTCAAAGACTGTTTTTTTCCATAGCTATTCAAAAACTACCTGTCCAAGGTGTTTCCTCCCTTCCGCCCATTGACCGCTGGGACAGGCTCCAGCTCCCCCGCAACTCAGAAGGATAAGCAGCTATTCAAAAACTTGGTTGCAATCTAAACACAACAAGAATTAACAGCCTGAAAATGTGAAATACTCAGATGAAAAAAACTGAAAAAAACTGCTGCAAAAACTAAAAATAAAAAAATAAAAAGAATAATAGAATATCTATTAAAAAGTTCTTTGCTTCTCACAAAACAGGCAAAACTAACATAGACCAGCATGCCTGGTCACCACCAAAACCAGCACATGTTGTGTTTTGGATGCTGGTATGCTGGTCAACAAGCATGACCATCCTAGGCGACCAGCTAAACCAGCACCAGGCCAGTACTAGACCAGCTTAGACCAGATGGAATGCATGCTTGCCTGTGTTGTTTTTTGTTCAGCAGGGGTGAAAAAGAAAAAGTAGAAGACAGTGTTTCTCCACCTCATTCAGGAGCTGAAACTTTACTCTTTCACACACAGCTCAGATCTCTGTAACTCAGTTTGAGCTGCTTTTGGAGCAGCAAAGCACAAAACAAATGGGCGGAATGTGTTTAAGTGCAAATAAGATCTACTGAAGAGCTCCTCACAGAATAGGCAAATGGCAGCACTGAGCTACTCTCTTTTGGAAAAGTTAAAGTTGCATGAATAGCTTCACTACTTTGTGCAGAAGCTGAAACTTTGAGTTCTTCCACATATAATTCAGATGCAATTAGGGCAGTTTCATCCCTGTTTTAACTGATTTTAATCCTTTTACATTTGCAAAAAAGTTCTAGCCAATTTGCCATCTTGGTTGTCACCATGCCAAAGACGGAGATGACCATAGTAAGTCAGGGAGTTGTAAAAAATCAAACAGAGGACAGAAGACATGCTCGAATTAATTTAGTGATGCAGAATAAATCACACAAATAA